GTCCAAGGCAGCTGAACAAAGGTTTTAAGTGCTGGGGGGGTTTTTTCAGCCTGGAAGTTTGTACATTCCTTGGCTTATGAGAGTAGAGTGAAATACCCTATTTCCTATCCACACTCGGTAATAGATTCCAGTATCTTAGAGAGTTGCCATAGTGATAAAAAAGGGAACAGAATCTACTTGTCTTCCTGGGATAGCAGAATTATTAAATTAAATGCCTCTTTTCCATTAAAGGAGAGTGTCATTATCATATTTCTGAGAACTGTTTTAGAGCAGAAATAATGTGTTTAAGGTGGTGTCCTGCATTAATCGTGTTCCTTCTTGAGGCACCTCTAGCCTTAACTTGCACTTGGGATACACCCCTTTATCTCCCCCACTGCAGCTGGTGGAACAGAACAACACCTTTCATGGGAAAATGTGCTCTACTCCATCAGAATTCATGCAGCTGTGACCACAAAGAGCTGGGCAAAAGAAGCAATATTTGCCCAAAATTGCAGCACAGGAACAGAAGTCTGAGATGTGAGTTGCAGAGGATGAGGTGGGATGAAAGGAGCTACCATGGGATGGAGTGCAGGGAACAGGGCTGCTGAAAATGGTGGCAGGAAGAGAAAGGAGATGAAATGATGGAGGGGAGCAGGAATGCAAAACAACATAACCCAGATTGTCAGAGAAAAGCTGTGAGCTTTTGGTGGAGTGGAGATGCACTGGAAGGAAGGTGGAGTAGCCCTGTGATGCACATCCATGCCTGCTCCATGCAGGTGGAAAAAGAAACAACTCACACTGGATTGCTCTTTGTTTTCCTTCCTTCTAGGAAAGTAAATTTAACAAACTTTAAGCCAAATACAAATCTCTGTGATGGCTCGGAGTTCCCCATGAAAATGACCATTCTTACCAGGTTGCAGACTCCAGTGTACTTGGGTTTATCTTCTTTGGTGACTTTTAATTACCTGGTAATCTTCCCCTGAGCTACCTATTTTGGGATCAGAGTTCTGTTTCAGAAATATAAAAACAAAAGTCTTCTGTGTGTCTGCCTTTCCTTACCTGCCTGGAAAAATCCTGGAAGCAGAGGCAGGAGTTGGGGTGTTTGAGCCTTTGCTTGGAGCTGCCAGTGTCCATTTGCAAAATAAACAAGCAGGATAAAATCTCTACAATGTGCAGGCTCAATCTTCTGCATATATTTACTAGTTGTTTTTTGAGATTTCAGTCAGCCATGGGTTAAAGTTCCACAGAAGTCACTGGGCTCAGTGTTCAGATAATTAACCAGGAATTGCAGTTTATGCCTCGCACTCTCAGGTGTTTTTCAGTGTGTGATACTCAGGGATCTGCCTGATTCTTCCTTTCATTCCACCTCCTGTTTGCTGCCTTCCCACCAGGGAGGAGCTGACAGTGGTTTGCTTTGCTGGAGTCCCTACCTGGCTGTGTTTGGAATCAATTCCGAGCTGCTCCTCAGGGTACCAGTAACAGCTCTGTGGATCTTAATGCTGTTTGTCAGCAGGTGGTTCTGCCACTGAAACTCCTTGCTGATCCCAGACTTGGTTGGAAACTGTTAAAAATGGGTAAGAGTTTGTTGGAGCAGGTGTCACATTGTATTGTGCATTCTTAGTCTCTGGAAATCACAGCCCTGTTAATTCAAATTCTTCCCAGGAAAAATCAGACTATTCTGTTTTTAAAACATGAACTTCAAACAAAAAAAAACCAAGATCTTTAGTAGTTTGTTTCATTGGCAGTAATTTACAAAAATGAAGTGTAGGTTAAAAGGCATGTCTAATGTTTTACAATGTTATCAAATTATGCTGTTTTTTGAAAGTTAAGGTCTGGTGTAATGCTTTAGTTTTATGTTCCTTTCCCTTATGAAAGCACAGCTTTGGACACTGAAATACAATGTGACAGAGAGCAGGTTAACCAAAATACAAAGTTACAAATTGAAGTTACTCTGCTTCCAGCTGGATTTCGAAGAACAGCAGAACATTTCTTCAAATTTCAGTCAAGTATTTATTACTTAATGAGCACCTAGAGTCAGAAAAATTATCCTCATCCTATTAAGCACTCAGCTTGGAAGATTTGAAAGGTTGCTTTGTTGTTGTACAGAGTTGTGATCTGTCTAATAACATGATCTATTGAAAAGGAAATGCTAAAATAAAATGAAACAACCATGTGGTGGTACCTGTTAGGATTGCAGAGCCTCTGGTGCTTTAGGGATGTTCTAGTCATTTCGGGTTTTAACAAACTTGAAACTGTCTTTTGTGACCAAATATTTCTAGTATTTTCCCTAAAAATCTATTTTAAAACATTCTTCCCATAATATAAAAGTGTTAATATTTCCTTATAATGAGATGAGAATACCTCTCTGTTTCTTTTGGATCAAGAACTTAAATTTGAGGTAAAATTTGCTCAGCATTCTCACTGCCCAAAGAAAATCTTTCTTCTGCTCTTTGAAAATTTAGCTGTATGAGATTCTGCCAGAAATTTTTAACACCAGGCTTCCAAACTTCCATGTTGGGCATTCATTGCCTGCACTGAGCCTTTTCCATCTCTTGTCTGATTTCTGCTCCATCCATGAGCTGCCAGGTCCAGGGAGGGCTCTGCTTGCACTGTGTTCTGCATGGAAGCCATGGGCAGAGGTTTGAGCAGCATTCCTGTCTCCAGTCTGGGCTCCCCAGGGCTCTCCCAGTGCTGCTGGTGACTGTAAAGCTCTGCAGGGGGTGTAGTGCTGGTGGCCAGAGAAATCTGTATATTATTCCATTCAAAAAAACTCTTCACTTTCAAGCAAGTTCAAAGAAGACTGGAAGGGCAAAGTCCTTCCAATAACAAAGTTTGTAGTTGGGAATTAGACATGAGGAAACTGAATAACAGCCCCGGAGTTAATGTTCCTATTTCTGGCTTCTGAAAGGTTTCAGTAGTTCTAAGCTTTCTCAGAATCTCACTTTCAGTTTCAAAAATTTTCTTCACTGTTGATCTGATAGACCCCTGTAGCATTAATGAACAGCTGTCATTATCAGATGACACTTTCTCATACCTTGTCTGAAATAGTGGCTTGATTGGGTAATTTTATTAAATACTTTACTGTTAATTCTTCAGAGAAAGCTGCCAAAATCTGTGGTGCAGTAAATAATTAAACTAATTTCTCTGAACATTCAGTCTGCAAAACAAACACAGAAATACAGAAAATTTAATTCTTGATATTTGTGCAATGTGATAATAGCTAAAACCACTTCTCTTTAAAAGCAGTCTTGGGACTAAACTTTAGATGCTAATTTTTGGTCTTACTTGCTATTTGAATTATTCAGCTTTACTCTGGGACACAGCACATATTTGATAACCTCATATATTGCAAAGTAACAGCTTTTGGGATTTTTTAAATGTGTAAAGATAGAACGTCTTGTACAGTGAAGAAAGGCCCAAATCTGGCAACAGTCACTGGGCAGGATGCAGGGAAAGGGAGCATTTCCTAACATAAAGCTGCTTGGAGAGTGGCAGGGCCAGCTGTCTGAAACCAGAGGGTACAAAGTACAGGGACAAAGAGGACAAGGCCCAGTCAAATTGTGTTTATTGGACTCTGCCCCTGTGTAATTTGCTGCTCGTAACTGGTGCTTCCTCAACTGCTCGTTCAGCCCAATTCCTGTAAGCATAAAAAGCAGCTCCTGAATAATCCCTCGTTATGAGGCTGTTCCAGTGATAAGCTGATGTGAACAGTCCCAGCTATGGGAGCAGTCCTGAATCCCTGCTGGCAAGGGAAGGGAAGAGGCCAGGACCAGAGGGTGATGCCACCGTGTTGAGGAGGGGAAAGGCTGGAGAGGTAAAGGGAAGAGGAAAACAGGATTTGCTATTTCAATTAAAGACTTTTCTCAGTGGTTGGATTCATATTTAGGATCAGGTTGTAAAGTCACCTAGAAATCCTCCCAGCACAGCAGTGAGGGAACAAATGTGGTCTACAGAGCAGGTCCTGCAGGAAGGACTGAGAGAGCTGGGGGGCTCAGCAGGGGGAAGAGAAGGCTCAGGGGAGACCTCCTCACTTTCATAACTCCCTGGCAGGAGGGTGGACACAGGTGGAGGTCAGGCTCTGCTCCCACAGGACAAGGGACAGGATGAGAGGGAATGGCCTCAAGCTGTGCCAGGGGAGGTTCAGGTTGGACATCGGGAGGAATTTCTTCCTAGAAAGGGTGGTCAGGCATTGGAAGGGGCTGCCTGGGGAGGTGGTGGAATCCCCATTCCTGGAGGAGTCCAAGGAAAGCCTGGACATGGCACTCAGGGCTCTGGGCTGGGTGATGAGGTGTGATGCATCCCAGTTTGAACTCGATGGTCTTGGAGGTCTTTTCCGACCTCGGTGATTCTGTGGTTCCAGTGGAGGAGATTTCACCACGGGGGAGATTCCTGCAGGCCAGGTGGCTCTTTGGATGTACAGTGTTCTCTCCAGTCATTCAGGGGGAGTTGTGTTTCTGTTTCTTAGTCTTGGGGGGTTCTCAGGGTGTCATTTGTCAAGGCTGTCAGTCTTAGACATCTTTTTGCTCAGACACTTCTCGTCAAGTACCAAAACATAAGTTGATAACCATTTGCTCGATGCCTTTATACCCCTCCCTTCCCATCTGTCTGTGTACAAAGTCATGCTTTGTGCTCAGAATGCACAAAGTATCACAGGATTTGAAGTTTGTTTGGTCTTTCAAAGTTCCTGTAGTGTTGGAAAAAGTAATTTCTTATGTGTCAATGTGGATTGGGAAGGATGATCTTGTGTTTTCCTTTGATTTTGTAAGTTGAATTGCAAGACTTAAGCCCCAGCTGTATATATTTGTAAATAATCTTTTTAGGATATATTTTAGCTTGGTAAAAGTTGTGAAATTGTGAATTTAATACTGAGAATTTCATTAAATTCAGAAACTTAAACTGGAATTTAGTCTCTGCAAATGCAAAGATGGATATTTGACATATGTTTGTATTTTGTTGTTTTTTTTAATCTCCCTTTGGAATCACAAAAATTCTAATCATTTCATTCATTCATTCTTTTCCAGCTGGGAATGACAGGTAACACTACTCCCTTTGGGCAGCCTTTCAGTCAAACTGGAGGGCAGCAGATGGGAGCTGCAGGAGTGAATCCTCAGTTGCCGAACAAGCCAGGCATGGCCAATAGTCTGTCTCCCTTCCCTACCGACATCAAGAGTACTCCCGTCACCAGTGTGCCAAACATGGTGAGTTGGACCTGCTGCTTCCTGCATTCTTTACCTTTTCCTAGTGCTTTCTGAATTCTTGGGTGATCCAGCTTCTGCAACATTATCAAATTACTTCTCCACGGTCATTTAAGCATCAGAGTTGCCCCGTGGTTCCTCACTTCCACTCTGCAGTGTGTATATAAAACTTGTGTGCATTTTTATGCTGTGATTCTACTTTCTGAAGAAACACAATTATAAAAACTGCATTGCATCCTTTTATTTTGGCTTGTATATTTAGTTTCAAACCAGATTAAAATGTCTTCTTAAATTCTGTGTGTCAATTAGAACTTGTTGGGTACATCACCATATTCCTGAAATGAAGTAGTACCTCACCTCATATCCTTTGAAGCTGATGTGGTGAACACCTCAGATGCTTCTCACTTTATACTGTGCATGACTTGCATGTCACAAGCTTGCAAGAACAGCTCTTGTAAGGATACCTTACAAGTTTATAGTATGGTGTTTACCAGAGTTCTCTTTATAAAGTTAAATTAAATATTCCCATTTGTCTCAGGATGTTGCGTATTAATCAAACTGCTTGTGTTGTTTCTATGGAAACTCCAGCTTGTTGCATTTTATATTCTTATACATGATAGCAGTTACTATAGAAACTTGTAAGACCTTCCATAAGATGTAAATCACTTATTTTTTAATTTAAATTTTTTAAAAAGCTATTTTTTGGCACAACCAGTGCTTGCTCTTCCATCACTGCATTTGCTAGCTGCCAGTCACTAAAAGGCTTGGTATGAAAGGCAAGAGGATGCAATAAACTTCCTCTTTTCTCCTGATATTAGAGAATCACTTCCTAATTTTTCTCTAGTTACGCTGTGAAATCTTTCTTTATATCATCTATTATTTACTGCTTATGATTATGAAAAGGAGCTTGTGACTGGATTAAGACTGTTCAGAACACCACTCATGTAGAATATTTGTAAAAGACAATTTGCTGCATGAATACTCTAATTGTGTTTATTAAGTGTTTGGATCAAGTGTAAAGAAAGTGAGTTATTGTCCTGATGCTGCAGAGAACCTGCAGGTCTCCCCAAAATGCTGTATTCATCTCAGGACTGGGTGATCCTGAAGCCTCATTTTGTGCTCATTTAAAAATCAGGTTTGGGAAAGTCTAAATCTTAATATACTCACTAGTATAGGATGTAGTGGTCAGTATTCAGGTGGAATAAAAAAGGCATTTGCCATCGAGGCTTGTCAGGTGATGGGAGAGAAAATAAAAAGCTGATTTCTCCCATCTTGTCCAAAAGAAAGAGGAAAGTAAGGGAAACTTTCCCAGTAGTATCAATTGCAGTTTTAAAATGTCAAAAATACCAACTGAGAGAACAATCAGAACCGTCTGTCTTTGTTTCTCAGGTGTCAAAAGCTTTGCATGTCCAATATATCTTCTTTTCCCTCACACCAACATGGAGAGTAATGGGCATTTCAGCCAACAGACATTGGTACTGTGGAGACCAAAGGTCTCCACCCAAAAGGGGTTAGAGGCATGGTGGTCCTGACAGGGGTGTAACTTCAAAAACTGATTTTCCATCTAAACATTTTTATTGCAAAGCCAAGAATTTAAAAAGAAATGTCACACTTGTTAGAATTTAACCTTTATTTGGCAGCAGTGGGTAAGGCAGTGTAATTATTTGGTAATAGCACATCCATGGCCATATGTTATTCCTTCCACAGGGACTTTGCTTTATTCAGTGAACAATATGAACAGAGCTCCTGGAAAGAGCACACAGTCAACATTTAGTTCTATTTTTGCAGCTCAGTGTGGAGCTGTGGGCATTGCTGGCTCTATGTTGTAATATATCTCACTTGGTCATTTCCAAATGCTCTTTCCTGAGGCAGTCAGCACTGGAGCAGGCATATACTTTGGATTAGTTCATTTTCACAGCACCTCTCTGAGATAAAGATGTGTTGCCCCAGTTTTAAGTACAGAGGCACAAGGAAAGTAAGACTGGCAGAATCTGCTGACTCAGAACTCGAGGGTTGTAGGCTCTGGCTTGCTAAACCTTATTTCATATGTTAAGGCATTACCTAAGGGTAAAATAACATCCACAGCAGTTCCATGAGTTACAGAAACACTCATCTAAGTGACATCTGTCACTCATATTGGACAGTCAAAATGTGACTTGTGGCAGAGGTCCCCAGAGCAGAGCTGCAGTGTTTGAGCAATCCTGCCGTGAGTTCTTGCTGTGATCCCACTGCTGTTTCTGTGTCCTGGGATGCTTTAGGTCCCTGGAGGTGATGGTTTATTTAATGTGCTTGGCCTGGAGACACGACCTGTCCTGTTCCCTGAGGGATGAGCAGTGATGTGGAAAAGGCTACTGTGTTAACATCGATCAAAAATGAACCTGGGGAGGATCAGTTCAGACTCCATCCACTACAGCAAGTGAAAGATAACTGCATATTTTAAAAAAAAACCAAAAAAAACCCATTCAGGGTCCTTTGTGGGATGAGTGCAACCACATATCTTCCTAAACCAGCCCTCTATACTATCCTTATCTTAAGGGGCCCCCAAAGTACTATTCCATGTGAGAGACAAACCCACATGAATGAAAAAACTGGTGATGTGTGGCCTGTCAGAGGCAGGAAACCAGATTGCAGCATGGCAGTGAACACTGTGGTTACCACAAGTGGGATTTTTAAACAAGAGAAGAGGAAGCAGAAAAGTGCAGCCATTGTCTGAGGACCCCTAAGTCCTGAAAACCAAAATGTTTTTAAATACTCCTTTCAGTCTTTAGCCTTACACCTTATACGTGTGCCACAAAAGTAAAATATGATTAAGTTTCTTAAACACACATTATTCTAATCATTACTGTGTGACACCCCTGTCCCCAACAGTAACCAGGCAGAACCCTGGCAGCCAGGACAAATGTGCTGCTGCTGTGGATTTGGATTTTTGATCCAAATTCAGGCTACCACTCTCTTGAGAACAGCACTCTTCTGTCCCCGCTCCTGCTCAGTGAAGTGCTCTCTGAAGCATCTGCAGCCCATGGTCCAGGCATGACCTTACACTACACCCTGAGAAGCACATTTGGATTAATCTCTTTAATTAGAAAAGAAGAACAAACCTTATGGTATTAAAATGATTAAGAGGTCAGCATTAAGGTATTAATTTTCAGTGCCAGCAGGATGGATTGATTTTGTTTGTTTGTTTTGTTTTAATGGTGATCCAAACAGCATATTAGCTCTTGCTTTGTGGGGCTACTACAGAATCAGTTCCCTTTACAGAATGGGCAGCTTGAAAACTTGAAAAACTTGAAAAAAAGTGAAAGGCTTGCTTCCAAAAGAAAAATGTTGCTTCTGATTGTGGAAGTTTTGGTGACACATTACTGAGATTCAGTGCTGCTGCAATGGTTCTGATGCAGGACTGGCAGTGCTGTGCTGCGGTGAGATCATGCACAATCCCTGGGCTGTGGAAAAGAGCCACGCTCTGCTCTCAGGCTCTCAGCGTGCTGTGCAGCCAGGTTGGGAGGCAGCAGCCAGGTTGGGAGGCAGCAGCCAGGTTGGGAGGCAGCAGCCTCTGGGTTTGGAGTGCACAGGCTCCGGGAGGAGCTGCTGGGGGAAGAGCCCTGTGAGGCTTTTCCATCACGCTCACTGAAGCTTTGTGCTCCCTGCAGTGCTGCCTGTTCCAAGGGTGGTGGTGGATGGTTCCTTCATGGACATACCAGTAAATCTGGTATTTCTGCATGGGTTAGGAGCTTCCAGACACCAGCATGGTTTCACAGTTATCCCTATGACCAGCAGATGGAGTTGAGAGAATACTGCTTTTTGGAAGCAAAGGAAATCGTTTTTCTTCAAGTCTTGACTTAGAATTGGAGCAGCACATCTTCTCCTGTGCTTTTTTCACCCTCATCTCTTGCTAAATTACGTCAGGAGCTCTCTGTTGTGTTCTTCTTTGTTTCTTTTCATGTCCTATGGATTTCTGTAATAGCAGATTTTGATCACAAGACAGAAGTGACTGGGGGGTGAGGATGTCTCAGGTTTGCCTTGCTGCAGACCTTTGAGGAAGAGGAAGAAAGCTTTTAAACTGAGAGGCCAGGTTTAATTAGAGCAAGTAGAACTGTAGCTACTTAAAATAGACAACTGGTATTTTATTCTAGAGACCAGAAAGAAAAAGCTTTATGAAGAATCACTTAACTCTTATGCCCTTCCAGGGAGGAAGACCTGTGTTCTGACCCTTCCTGTGATTTTTCCTCACTTGCAGCACAGCCACTCTCCTCTATCCCTGTGGAAAGGTCTGTGGCTGTTGCAGTGGCAGCATGCTGAGTGTCTGCTTGCTGCTCTCTTCAGCATTTTCCTAGTCTCTGCTGGGCTTGCTGTCAGCTGTGCTCACCTTCCCTGTGCCTGCCCTGACCTCCGCTCTGAAATTTAGTTTCTCGTTCACAGGCAAGCTCACTCCTTCCCTTCCTCAAAAAAATCCCACCTGATTTACAGTAGTGAACAGCTGGGAAAAGGCTTTACTTAGGTCTAAAGGAGAACATCTTAATAACCTGGAAACAAATCCAACAGATAGCGTTCAGTGCCAGGGAAAGGATATTGTTTTGTTGGTAGCAGAGCATCTCTGGCTTGCCTTAGTGCAGGAGTTCATCCTGGGGATGTGCATTGCTTTGAATGGTGGAATATTTTAGCTTTTGCATCATCTGTAAATACAGTGCCAGGCTGGCAAAAGCTGACAAAGAGGAATTAATCTTTTCCTGATGCTCTGGCCCGTGCTCCACTCTCCCTTCCCCGATATGCAAATATAAGTGGTGGGGAGTATCCATTGCTGTGTCCTACTCTATTCCAGCAGCTGAGGTGCTCCATGGCCAGCACTCCGACAGCATGGCTTTCCTTCCCTTACAAACTCCTCATTTGTGCTTTAGCCTTTTCTTCTATTCAGGATTTGCTATCTGTGATTTTAAATGTTCCTCAAGCTGTTTTGTCCCCCACTAAAATACTGAGCTTCAGGTAGGGTATATAACCCTTCAATATTTCACTCAGGTGAAATCCTGTATGTGAGAACTAGAATCTGTCTACACTTTCCTGTACTTTGTCTTTTTTTCTACTTTGAGACGCTTCTTCAGTGCACATTTCTTGGCATTTGCTGGCCCTGCAAATCAGAAAGATGAGGAGATAAACTCCACAAGTGTATCCTTAAGAAAGATGCTGATCCAGCCTTGATGCCTAGCAGACTCCATGGCACAGAATTGAGACCTTTGCTAATTTTAAAACAAAATTCCTTTAGCAATTAAAACCTAAGTGCACTGACCAGCTATTCAGGCTCTTTCTGTAGCCTGACCATAGGAGCCACCTCACCTTTGAGGTTGTCATAGGCTTGCAGGTTCATTCACCACCCTCATGGGTGGAAGTGGGAAGTTGAAAATATTCCTGTTTACCCTCGATATGAAAACTCAGCCTTCATCCGTGCCAGTGCCAAAGCTTTGAAATAAACCTTGAGCTCTAAACACATTCTTCATGGTAAGAACTCAGCCTCAAGGTGCTCCAGGGGAGGTTCAGGTTCGACATGAGGAAGGATTTCTTCCCAGAAAGGGTTGTCAGACATTAGAATCAGCTGCCCAGGAAGGTGGTGGAGTCCCCATCCCTGGATGTGATACTCAGTGCTCTGGGCTACTGCCAAGGTGGGGATGGCTCACAGGTTGGACTTGATGATCTCAGAGGGTTCTTCCAAGCTAAATGATTCTGTGATTATGTTTGCTTTGTGTTCAGGAGCTGAATTATCTTCTTACCTCTCCTCATTTCTTAGGGCACTGCCACTGCTCAGGTTGGTGCTCTAGGCTGACATCACTTATCTCCCTCCAGACAGTGGGGCAGCCTTCTGAGGCTGTGTCCAGTTCAGGAAACCTCTTTCCTCTCCTGTGGAGACTTCTGCCCACCATTCAGACTCAGATTCTGATTCTTCCTTGGGTGAGGATGTAGCACTGCAGGGTTTTGGGATACAAGTGCTTGTGTTTGTAGTGCTCATCCCAGCCTGTTCGTGCACGTGTGAGCCTCCAGCCTCTGGGGCCAAAGCAGACTCTGGTGTTCCTGGGGTCACAGGGATCCTTCCTGTTTGGATAGGACCAGGCTGCTCATTCCATGCCTGTTGAGAGTAACTGGTGGAACCAGGGAAGCCACCATCCACGTGAATTGCAAGAAGTGTGAAGTGGTTCTCTGTCACGTTCCCAGTGAAACTCTGGTCATCAAGTGACAGCCTTTGGCCTTGATGCCCCCCAATAGCTGCTGCTTGAGCTCTCCTTCAGTTTGGGGACAGAATGATGCTTCCTGGGCTGTTCAGAGAGGGTTCAGCACTTAATAGAGCATTCCTGCAAATCCTGTGGAAGGAAGGACTTCTTTGAATCTTACTGGAAATGTGTTGGGATACTCATTATTGGAGTTGGTCACACTATGAACATTTTATTCAGATAGAAATGTTGCTAATTAGAAGTTCTTTGAGATTTACAGTTCATTTGTAGATCCACTTTGTTCCTGCTATTCCTTCTCTGGAAGGGACCCTCAGGATCACACTTTAAGCCTGTGGTTGGAAGGGAAGTGAAGAAGTTTGAGGTTGTTTGACCTTAATGTACAAACCTCTCTTACAGAACTAAAAGGCATTTTTTAAACACAGGATTTGTCCTCATAGTGAAAGTCACATTCTTCTATCAGGGACAAGGAAAAAACATGGAAATAAGCAGAAATTACAGAATAATATTTTAAAACCATAATGCTCTGTAGAGTGGAGCTGAGGCAGAGTATTGCATTGTTTACCTGCTGTAAGGTTGCCACTGCTGTTGAGATTGCTGCCTACTTTTGTAAGAAAAGATACATAGTGTTCCATTATGACAATGTTGAGTGTTTTTGAATATAAGTACATAGAAACATTGAGAATTGCTGGTCCCCTCAGTAAAACCATCAGGGAAATTTGAGTCCATCCAAGTCCACGACAATGAGCATCTCTGCTGCCCAGATGTGCAGGAACCTTTTTGCCTTCATGATAGGGACAGGGCAGAACCATCTTCCTCTGTGAATGAATTTCCATAATTTTAAAGGGTATTAATAGCTGTCTTACCCTATAGAATATATAGGGTAATATAAAAATATATTAATATATAACTCAGTTTTTAGAAAACTGATTCTTGACATTCACATCTCCATCAGAGGTTTTAGCAGATTTCCAACCCCTGATCCATTTGCTCTGTCGATGGTGGAACAAATGGCAAGAGAAACAAAAATATCTTTTTTACCTTGTTTATCTGACTATTGAATTATTTCTTTTAATTTTGGATCCGGAAGTGCCTGAACTTTCTTTCTGCCTCAGCAAGAACATTTTCAGTCAGGTGAAACAACAAGAAGCTTTATATTCTTGAGGGGGTTTTGTGCCTACCTGCAGACACAGTGATCTGGACTAAGACTGCTTTGTTCTTCAAACCACTGATACTCTGCAATTCTGCTCTTTTGTTACTCAGTCTTCAAGAAATCCTTCTGGGTCAGGGCATCTGTGCTGATACAGCTGCAGTCGTGTCTGCTAACTGGAAGGGTAGTAACAAAAGGAGGACTTGGCTTGGGAAACAATTCTTTTACTGGGATGAAAGCATCGCTTCCAACAAGATTTTCTTTGGCATGATCTGTGTATTTTTCTGCAGATTAGCTGAACTAATTGTTTCCTATTTGTGACCCAAGAATTGTTTCAGCAAAACCTCTCTGCTCTATGGATTTGTTCACAGGAGAAATGGAAGACTGAATTTCAGCTGCATGCAGTGGGAGCAGATGTTCATGGGTTTCCTTCATTCACCCCCTTATTCCTTTTATTGTTCTTTCTCTTGAAAGCCCAAGACAAATGGATTCAGCAATTCCTCTTTGTATAAGAGTCTTGTCTAAGAGTTACTATAATCATTATCAAGTGGCAGAGTCCCCACTTCCTCCATCAAATACCAGACATGGTGTATTCTACTTGATCTTGTGTGCTTCATTCCTCAGAAGAAAAGGAAGCTCCAAAATCTGATGTGCAGGGACAAAGCTTGCTGCTGGAGCATGCAGGAAATGTTTTGTTGGTCTGAAAAAACTAGGATTTTGTAGGCTATGGAATTTTCTGGGGAATCCTTCTCAAAGGTCAGAAGTAGAGTGGGCTACAAATGGTGTATGCTGACACTTAAACCTGATTTTTTTTTAAATGTGATATTCAGGTTGTGGTTAGTAGTTCTGCAGGCAGCACTGAACTATTTCCTCTGTTCTCTCCCCAGCATAATCCTAATGTTCTTATAGTCTATTTGAAAGTGTTTTTCATGGCTGGTTTTCCTTAGGTAGCTTGGAATTTGGTGAGCTTTCCTGTAATAACATGTTTTTGTGCATAATCAAAGCAATTCTTGGGACAGTTGCTTGTTTGTCCACAAGATTAATTCAGGCTGCAAATCACAGGGATTTCAGCACTTTTGCAGTCCCATATCTGTTCCTGCTACAGGAGTCAGTGCAGGCTGTGGATATGTTTAATTTTGAAAGTCAAGTTTCTACATTTGTCCAAGAAGGTAGAAAAGCTGCCTAATCTGTGTTGAATAATTGACATGTTAGGGGCTGTTTCTCTTCTGCACTGTTACGAGCTGTGCCTTAGACTGAAGATCTCTGTGAGTTTGCTGCTGTCAGGCAGAGCTCAGGCCTTGCTACAGAAGTGTGTCCATAAAGAATGGATGCTGGAAGTAAAACATTGGATTTTAAAGTTGATCAAACCCAGTGTCACCCTGTGATAATTCCAGTTCTCTTCAGCAGCAATGATGCAACCCAGGTTTAGGTGGCCTTTATTAGGAGAAAACTATATACAGCTCACCCTGGGAATTTTCTCTGTGGAAGGAATATCACTTGGAGAGAAAAAGGACTAACTTAGGCTTAAAAAATCAGCTCTGCCTTTTGCTGTAACACATGGAGGCAGTCAGAGAATTTCGACTCTCTTCTCCCTTTGGACTTCTCTTTTTCTTGGGGACAAGGGACTGGGGTTGATTTGTATAAAACCTATAATATGAAAATCTCACCTGTAGTATGAAAATATAATACTAAGCAAGCTAGAATGGTGTGGATTGGAAGGGACCTCAAGGAATTCCACCTCTGAGTGTGATAAGAGCACATTGCTGTTGGAATTATGGTCTCTCTAATAAAGAGTATTTTGAATGGCTCATTATTTAAACTCTTGTTTAAGTGTTTTTACAGAGGAACCTCTCAATACATAGATGTTGTTTCAGCATTAGGAATGCTCTGGGGAGTGGTGCAATAACCCTTACAGCCCAGAGAACAGCTCTGTGATACTCAAATTTTGTACAAGAAGCTCGCAGGCACAACGCTGACCTCTCCATTTTTCTCTCAGTCCCAGATGCAAACCCAAGTCCAACAAGTGGGGATTGTCCCAACCCAGGCCATGGCCACCGGGCCCACAGCAGACCCTGAGAAGCGCAAACTGATCCAGCAGCAGCTGGTTTTGCTGCTCCACGCTCACAAGTGTCAGCGGCGCGAGCAGGCCAACGGCGAGGTGCGCGCCTGCGCCCTCCCGCACTGCCGCACCATGAAGAACGTCCTCAACCACATGACGCACTGCCAGGCTGGCAAGGCCTGCCAAGGTGAGCCTCTCTGCTCTCCCTGTCCCCAGCCTTCCTCTTCTCAGCCAGAGGGTCCCCTGTGCCTGGCATGAGGGAGTGGCAGCACTGGCTCTGTGGTTAAACTGCTCCCAGCTCTCCTCAGCTGCCAGTTTAGAAAACAGAATGCAGCATTTTCCCTCCTCAAATAGGATGGCACCAGTATAGGTATGCTTGAAAGCATCTTCTTCATCTCCTCTCTTAATACTGATGCTTTGAAAGACTGTCTGGAATAGAGGCTAGACAGTATTAAAGGAGTAAAGTAGGTATTTATTAAAAAGATTTTTAAAGGGTATACTTTGGGCAGTACAAGAGTTGGGCTGTGACTCTGCTCAAGATGGAACTTGGTCATGAGTTTTCACATTTATTTATATAAGTTTTGGTTCATTTCCATATTGGGTTGATTGTCCAATTCCAGCTCCAGGTTCTGCAGTCCCATCCTCCCAGACTGCTCTCCTCAATTTGCTGTTGACACTTTTTGGGCCTGAAGCTGCAACTGTGTCTTTGGTTGTTGGGCTGGGAAAGGATTGTTGTGTCTGACTGCACTGAGGAGAATTTGCTAACACGTGATATGAAGTTCAGAGTTATATACTAATGCAGTATAGAATCTGGAAAATATGAAAGCAAAAACTTAAGGCATCAATATTAAGTGTGATATCCACCATGTGTTTGTCTTAAATTTCAGTACTAGTTTCCTTCTTCTGCACTTGGATCACAAGACATTTCAGTTGTGTTTAGTTACATGTGCAGTATTGCAATATTTGCCTTTTGGAAGCAGGATTGTAGCAGTGTAGCCTTGCAATCATCCTTTTCATCTCTGTTGTATAAGGAGAGTGTAGTGTCTACCATGTCTTTATCTTAAATTTTAGGACTAGTTTCCTTCACTCGCTGGTAGATCACAAAAAAATTTACTTGTTTGTAGTTTTAGTGTTGCTTGTGAAGGAGAAAGAGTAGAGTTACTCTGGAAATGAAATCATTCAAACCCATTTAACCAAGGAGTGGCTGTTAACTCTTGCTTTCCCTTGCTGCAGTTGCTCATTGTGCATCTTCAAGACAAATCATCTCCCACTGGAAGAATTGTACTCGGCACGACTGTCCCGTGTGCCTTCCTCTGAAAAATGCCAGTGACAAAAGAAACCAACAACGTGAGTACTTCTCTTACTGCTGTTAAACCAAAGTTGATCACATGTGCAATGGAGGAATAAACTCCTGACAGTGTCCCAACAAACAGCAGTCATTAACGATCTTTTACAAGGATAAATATACCAAGTGAATTTCCATTTCTGATCATTGAATCTATTAATTAAATATGCAATAATTGGGAAAGTCTGAGCTCAAGACACATCTTTTTTAAAGGGTGTGGCAACTTCTAACTGGTGTTTCATTGTGAGGCAAGTCAATAGATTCCTGTTATGAAGTAGTTTTATAGGCAGTGGATTGGGGAGGAGATAAGCTGCTTGATTGTGTTTCTTGCTGCTAGAAACTATTTAAATCAACATGCTAGAGACTTAAAATAACCAAAAATGTTTGAAAAAATAATTTTCTCATGTAAAAAGGTCTGGATGTCTTAATCATTAAGTGTATTTAACACTGGTATAGATTAGCTGTAGTTCTGCAAATCATGCCTGGTTTTTATAATAGCTGAGCTGTTACTGATCCTTGGGACTGGTCCATTTGTAGTTTATTTCTTCTTCTCTCTTGCTCTGAAAAAGAAAATTCTGAACTTATGTTGGTAGGTTTGCTTCTCATCAAGTCCTTTGAAAAGATGCCAGGGTGGAACATTTTACAGCATCGATGTAAAGTTCTAGAAATCTTAAGTAATGTTATGCCTAAGTATATTTAAATAAGGGTTAAGAAGTGGAAAATAGCTGCAGGACTTGCAAAGCTTGAACACTGGAATTGGATTGGAAGCATTCTGCTAATTTCCAGCTAAGCTGAGACTGCAGTGGGGAACACCAGCAAACCTTGGAGGATGCAGAATTGCTCCTAGGTTAGGTGGGATTAAGGCAGAGGGGAGAGTAGCTGCTAAAACTACCAAAATTATCCATTGAGCATGTTCTCTTTATGGTTTAAGGAGGGGTTTTCCTTCTCCAAAACTAAAAAAATTACAACTTAAAGAGCTACATGGAGGTCAGAATTTTGTTTCAGTTTTACCAAACTTCTCCTTGGTAAACAAGATAAGTCTTGTGCTTTGAAAGTAGTAATTTGTTGCAAGTGATTAGTTGTTTGGCCCTCAAAAAATGTGTTGAAAGCTTTGCTTTTTAATATGACATGGTCCATTTGTGCTTAACATCCTTATTACACAGTTGTTATCAAAGTGCTAACAACATCTACCAGAACAGAATTGCATTTTTCAATACAAGCTGCTGGAGAAAAGTAGTTTGTGCACTATTTGTTTTGTTGCTCATACAGCTGATTATAAGAGAACAAAAACTGGAACATAAACAATCCTTAAAAGGAATTTTGCTATGGGATCAAATAGGATATTGTCTGACTGCAACAGAATTATAATGAATAAGTGTAGAATTTTTCTCTCTTGTTGCATATGGAAGGAGATGAATATGAAATCTCCTTCTCCTATTCAGTTAATCAAGAATCCAGTGGTGCAGGGTTCTTTGTCCTGGATTATGTCTCAGGGTCACATAAAACCTCATGGTTTATTGGGAGGTGAAAGAGGAACACTAGAAGTACTCATTTAGCTGTATTATAAATGGTGCCCCTTTTTGGGCATTCAGGAAGGTTTGTGGAATGATTTGTATTGGTAACATTGGTGCTCTGTAAAATGTTGTTCCAAATCAGATGGAGACCAACCAGAGTTGGGATAGTTTTAGACTGGAATAAAATGTTGTCTTTCTTAAGAATAAATCACAGTAGCTTCTACTAAATTTGGAGGAGGAGGGAGTCTGCTTTTGGCAGAATACAGAGAACATTCAGAAAGGGAAAAAGGAATGAGAAGTATAGTGATCCTCCTCCTATTGTCTTCCTTACAGAGAGCCCAGTACCCTCCTTCCTGTGCCCATCCCTGTTTTCCTGTTGTTATTTCAGCCCTGGTGTGGCCATGCTGGGCTTTCAAGAAGCTGCTTCAAAGGGTGCCCACCTTTTAGAACATTCTGCAGTTGAGCACTGCTGAGCCATTGCAGTGTGGTGCCTCACTTCCATGCACACTCACTCCTATGCTTTTGTAGCTTTCTGTTCCTACTCCTTGGGGATCTGCAAGTCCTGGAAAGTCCTGGGGTTTAGGTTATTGCCATGGAGCTGTTTCTGTACAGGTCTTTTAGTGTTGGGATTTTTTTGTAAAGAACATTGTGCCAGGTTTCCTCTGAATTGCCTTTTTTATTTATTTTAAAGCACTCTTGAACTATATTTTACTATAATGGTTGATAGTGACCTGACTTGTTAATAGAGTATATTGGGACAAATTTAAAATTCTTTCTGTTCCACATGGTTCTTATTGTGTGTCCCATGTACTTCTGAGGGAGCAGGGGAAACTGAAAAACAAATATTATTTTGCACATGGTAAAACATTAAACTTTTCTTTTGAATAAACAGGTAAATCCTGTGTTGTGAAGTAATGGCTTGAAATTTGGTTGAAATATTTTGGGGTTGAAGACTTGTTTTAGTTAGGAAGTACTTCTTGCTCCCTGATGGGCCCAACATGATATGTGTTACAAACCTCTAGAAACAGTTGTTGATATAATTCCTAGTTTTGTAGCTGTGTCAGTTATTCTTTGAAGATTCATTTTATCATGCACATGTATGAGCTCCTTAATTCTTCTGTTCCTGGCCTGGGCAGGTATGTTGTGCACAGCTCCTGGATCTGCTCCCATTTGTAATGTTGTGCATCATTCCAGGGTCAGGGGACACTGGAAAACCCCTGGGATCCCCACTCAGATGAATGAGACTGGAAAGTGGAGTTGTGAACTTGGAGCTTGGCTCCCCTGTGACATTCCTTGTAGGAAAATTTTAAATAAAATTCAGCAAGGAGAAAGCTGGATTAAGAAAGATTAAACTTGAGATAACTAATCTTCACATAAAAGTGTGATTTTAGAGAAGACAGAGACAGAAATCCTGGTGTATGTGAAGTCAGGGATGAAAGAGCAGGAATGTGATGAGGGAAGTGGAAGTAGGGACCATGATCTAGCTGGCTGACATAGCAGGTTATTGAGTAGAGGCAGAAAATGGAAGAGAACCTGGATGTGAAGCATTTGGGAACCAATCCTTTGCAGAGAAGGAAGGAGTGAGTGCATCCATGCACAGGGAAGTGTGTCCAGGAGGAGGAGGAGGAAGCAACTTCTTCAGTAGAGTCTTTTTTCTGTGCAAACAAAATGAAATCCAACTTGTTCAGGTCTCACTGTCAGGAAATGTAAGATCTACAAACACAACATGTCTCTTGTTTTTCAATTGCTGGAAATCATGTAATGGTGGCCCATCAGTTATCCCATGGAGCCACATGATGGATGGTAGTCCATGGATTAAGGAGTTCCGCTGACTGACTGATCCAATGCTCTTCTGAAGGATTCTAATTTAATGCTTAACTTAAATAAAAATTAAAATGGTATTGGTGGTGAAGTTGAAAATTGACACTACCTTCTTCAAGTTCCTCGTAAAATCTTTACCCCATGATATGATTCAAGAAACAACCTTTAATTAAAAATTGTGTGCATTTACCTTTGTGTACCTGCCTAATTCTGAGTGCAGGACAGGCTTGTGCTGAGGTAAGTCAAGGGCACCAGCACAAATTTTGCTCCAGCCCCTTTGAGACGAGGAGAGTGAGGAGGTGCAGGATAGAACAAGTCTCAATTAAAGAATTTGGAAGCAAAATCAAACATTTAAACCAGCGTGGCTAAATTTAAATCAGCTCATAGCTTGTTGTCTGAGGTGATGAGACAGAGTTGCTGAAGGATTTTGGTTTAACAATTGCCAGCTGTTCTAACAGCCAATTCTGTCTCAAATGCTACTTTCTTTTTGCATCTTAATTGTTATTATTACCTTCTTTCTAGCTTATTGGTCTAATCCTTAGAGTTCAGGCATTTAAAATTCTCAAAAATGGTTTAACATGTTCACTGGAATGGTCAGGTTAGAGAAGTGCTGGGCATTCATACTTAAAATAACATTAGGGATCTGTGTTTAAAATAAATTTTAATTAGCTGGAGGGGTTCCCCTCTAGAAGACATGAGTGCAGTGTCATTAAACAGCAGTGCCTGGGACAGGAATCCTGCAGGTGAGCTGCTCTTGGATGGTTTTGATGCCTTCTGGGGATTGGGATGTCACTGGAGCTACTCAGAAAGTTCTGGGGCTGCTGAACTTGTGCTTGTTTGAACCTTCCCTCCTCAGGTACATAAACACAAGTGACACTGGGACACACAGAGCCAGTTGTCTTTACAGCATTTAGAATGTGAATTACAGAGCTCATTTCACACTTGTAACTTCTGTCATGGGCTCCTTAACGTCTGAAGCATCAGTTAATAAAAGTAAATTTCAGTAGATGTTGTTTCACATTGCAGTGGCCTAATGTGTTTGTTCCAGGGCTGTATTTATTTTAGTTGACTTTCTTCCCTGCACACAGAAAGGGAAATCTATCTGCCACAGAAAGAACAGCATTTTCACTTAGGTCTCTCCAGAGTGGAAATTTAATACTCTCTGCCTCCATCTTCTTATTTGACAGATAATGTCATGCCTTCATACAAAACCAGTGAACAAACAGACGAAAAAACCTCCTTCAAAAACAGATTCCTGATGTTGAGCAATACTCAGAACAGGATCCTATTGAGTTATGAAGTGTAGAAAAGCTGAGGGCAAATAGTCTTAAACTGTTCTAACACAGGGGCTGAACTTGTGCTTTGTAGTGTCTGATGCTGCTGCCAAAGCTCAGCCCAGAGCCATGGGCTGGACATGCTGGACTTGTCCAAGTGAGCTTCAGGCCAAGCCTGCAGTCTTAAACAATCAGTGGTTTTTCCCCAGGAGAAGGTGAGGTCTGGTGGAAGGCTGGGCCCTCCTCAGTGAGGTGGCCACTGAGGTTTCCCTGGTTTTTTGGTTTCCCTGGTTCCCTGCATCACCTGTGTGTGTTTTGCCATCTCCAACGCTGAAAGCAGATTGGGGAGGTTTTGTCCTAATTTTTCTGGTGGAATATCATCCTCTAACAAGCTGGAATTCTCATTAGCTCCTGAATCAATCTGCTGTCACAGCAGCCTCTGAGGGCTTTTGAATTCCAGGGTGCCACAACTTTTGTGCTATTTAACCTTCCTGTTCCTTGGCTCGCAGTAGTGTAAAGGCATTTTCTCCTAGATTGTGATTCCAGAGTACTACATGCAAGTCCAATGAGGAATTCATATAGCTGCTCTTTAATATGTCTTTTTTTTTAATTAAGCTGATAGGATCTTAATCAGCTTCTTTGTTTTTAAACTCTCTTGGAAGTGATCAGTGAGTTCAAAAGTTATTGTGAGTGTGTCCACAGAGTGTAAGTATACATAAGCCTTAATTTCCATGGTAATCCCAGCATTTAAAATACTGTGGATTGTCCTGTGGGGGAAAAAAGGATGTTTTTTATAGAGCTGCTTCTTCAGGAGAGGAAGATAGCTGAGTATATTTATTTGTAGTTCTTTGGCAAATGAGATCAAATTGATTTCTCATCTGGAGAGGGAAAAGTCTGGACTCTGCAGTGTGTGTGTTTTCTCTTGGGTGGAAGCTGGAAGCCTGTGTATCTCTTCAAGTGATTCAGTTTCCATAGTGGGTAAGGATTTAAGAAAGCCTGGATAATGCTGTTAATGTCTCAGAAGGCTTGTTTTCATGACTTTTTTATCTAAGCACGTGCCCCTACTAATTTTTCAATAAAACAGTTATTGTTGCCTATATTAAGAGCCATTACAGTTGCTAAGTTTAGTTCACACATTTGTAATGCACATTACATATTTAATTACTTGAGGGGGAAAATGTGAAGGAAGTGTTACTTCTACCAGAGCCCTGATTATCAAAATGCAGCATCTCTGTGCTGAAGGTTGCACTCCATGGGTCATTCACAAGGGAACATGGTATTACTTAGAATGGTAGATAAAATGAGAACCAGAAAGCAAAATTTTGCTCTCTTCTGGATTAATTAAATGCTACTTTTCCCTGTTGTTTCCATTTCCTGCCTACAATGAAAATTACACTTCCATACATCTGTATGGTGGGAGAGGTTGGTTGGTTGTGGTAGCCATGTAGGTTAATGAATACCTAAACATCTAAATTATTTACCAGAGTTCAACCCCTCTCTGACTCCAACTTATTTTAGATTTTGTACAGTACAATGTGAGACTCATCAGAGTTTGTCATATCTCTAAATAATTTGGGGTTTAAGGTAATTTGGCCTCTTCAGAGGATTTCATCTGGTGACTGCTGGCAATGAAAATTTCTACCAACAGATCTTCAGTATTACCTTTGTGTCCAAGGACACAGTGTTTCTGCTGAACTCAGGATCTCTGTTCTGGAGCCAAATATTTTGACCTAAAATGGGATTGATGGGAAAGAGGGAAGTAGAGGAATTAAATTTTTTTCCCCCTTAGTTTACTGTCCCCAAGCATGAAAATCCCATTTAGCCTTATATAGGAGCCTGTACTGTATATCTATTACAAGTAATTATGGGCTTATATGCCTGAAATTTACAGCACTTCTCTTTAGACTGCATGGATTAATAGCCAGGGTGGGTTCTGTCCTGTAGAATCAAAGGCTGAGTTTTCCCACTTGGCATCTTGAGTGTTGTTCTGTCCTCTGGCAGAAAAATATCTGTGTCATAGAATATGTGCATGTTGTGGTGACTTTTGGCATGGCTGGTTTTACTCCTTATTCCCATCGAATTTTAATTTTCTCTTATTCTTTCTCTTTTCTATAGCCCTTTTAGGGTCTCCAGCTGGTGGGATCCAGAATTCCATTGGTTCTGTTGGTACAGGCCAGCAGAATACTCCATCACTAAGTAATCCCAATCCAATTGACCCCAGCTCCATGCAACGAGCCTACGCTGCCCTGGGGCTGCCATATGGCAACCAGCCCCAAACACAGCTGCAGCCCCAGGTCCAAGGCCAGCAGCCAGCACAGCCTCAGGCTCACCAGCAAATGAGGACCATTAATGCACTGGGTAGGTGGAGAAAAGAAAAAAAAAGTTAAAATAAATTATGTTGAACTTTTAGGATAGTCTGGTATTTTGTTTGGTCAGGGTAGTGACTGTCTGGTCATGTTGTTTATTAAGTTAAAAATACATTATTTATATACACTGCCATTCATTTACATTTGAATATTAGAAAGTTTTGAATGTAGTGCTTTGGCCAAATAGCAGGACTTTGAGTTTCTTTTAAAATATAGCACATAGCTCATTCTGTGAGGTGATGAGACAGAATTTCTGAAGGATTTTGGTTTAACAGTTGTCCCCTGTTCTAACACACAATTCTGTCTCATATACTTTTTTTTTTGCATCTTAATTGCTAGTATTACCTTCTTTATGGCTTATTGATCTATTCTTAAGAGTTTATGAATTTAAAATTTTAATAGACTCATTTTTGTAGTTCAGACTGAAGGTAATTTGTTCCATAAATAGCCACATATGTGCAGCACAGTAGGTATTGTTATAAAAATACTTAACTTGATCAATTGCTTCTTCTGTTAGCCAGGTGGGTCAGTAAAGTGCAGTTTCATCATATTATTGTCAAAATTGTGAACTGTGCACCAATGATGTTTAATTTTGCCCCAAAGGAGCCAACCAGATGAACCTTCCTGCAGGAGGAATAACAACAGAACAGCAACCGGGTCTAATTTCTGAAACTGCTCTTCCAACATCCCTTGGGACAAATAAGTAATGCACACATTTTCATTCTTGCTCAATTAAACATTTATTTGCATGCTTATGAACATAAATAAAGAGCATGCTTTAAAAACTGATTATATTGGCGTGGAGATGGTCAGTCACATGTACAGCTCTGCTCTCTTTCCTGTTCCAGTTCCAGAGCTGAACTTTGTGCCTTCTGAGAGCCCCACAATATTTATTGCTTTTAAATGAAGTCCCAAAGGAAGAATATTTTGTATTTTTAAGTTGATAGTTGTGATTCTTTACTATTCACTCTGTGAGTGTGCCTTGTAAACTCCTGAGCTTTGCTGCTTCAGGGGTTGCAGCTTGTTGATGCCAAAATTTCACTTTAAAGAATGTTTGATGCAGTAGCTAAAAGAGATTAAAGCAACAACTCAAAAATTACTTCAGGCATCAATCCTATGACAAAACTCTGCATTTTGGTACTCTAAAAATCCCTTTTCATTTGATTTTAGCCCACTAATGAATGATGGCACAAACTCTGGCAATGTTGGAAACCTCAGCTCAATGCCAACGGCTGCACCTCCTTCGAGTACCGGGGTAAGGAAAGCATGGCATGAACATGTCACTCAGGACCTGCGCAATCATTTAGTGCATAAACTGTAAGTATTCAACAAGGCTGACTTTTTCCTCAATGTTTTTAAAGAATTTCAATACAGTAGTTCTGCTATTAAGCTGAAAAGAAAGTTTTCAGTGGTGGTTCTCAGGTGCTATGCCACTCAGGATGAGTTGTTACCTTTAATCCTCTTCAGTTCGTTCTTCATGCTCATTAAGGAGTGGGCATGGAATTAGTTTCTATTGCTAGTAAATTTGCTCTGCTGTGGTGAACAGTTATTTAGACTCCAGACTGTTAAGCCTCACTTTATTTTCATCATTTGATTTGTTCTAATCTTGTGAGAAATAGTAAAATATTATTTTTTTAACCATTTTGGTATGCTTTTACATATCTGGTATGTAAGGGAACATTCAGGGTGATTATCATAAAGCTGTATTGATTTGGGGTTTTATTCTGAAGATCTTTTTCTATTATTGTTCCTCTGTCCTTGCAGTGTCCAAGCCATCTTCCCCACTCCTGATCCAGCAGCACTGAAGGATCGCCGCATGGAGAACTTGGTGGCTTATGCCAGGAAAGTGGAAGGAGATATGTATGAATCTGCTAATAGTAGGGTATGTTGCTTCAGTCCAACATGTGGAAGAAATAGCATCACAAATCTTAGAATTGTAAAGAAAAGCTTTCAGTGTTTGTGTAGTTCCAAGCCATGTGATTCATGTCACTCCGAGCTAATTCACTCCTCAGCTCTAGACACCATCACATCCATCCCAACTTGCATCCTCCTGAAACTGTGATGGACATGCAAGAAGCTTGGAGCACAGCTTGCAGTTCTTGATGCTTCCCTTATGGAATTGCAGTAGTTTTAAAATTTTCCTCTTTACCAGTGGAGGTTTTTTTTAGGACCAAGTGCTGTTCCACTGTTTACCTTCCACCTGTAGGGATAGAATTAATTCTCCTCTGCTCTGCAGCACCAGGAGTAGTTGGGCTAAGACATAAGAAGTCAGTTTGCCTACTTTGTGGATGGGAAAAAGAAACAGAATTCATGTTGTAGTTGATGATTTTTGCTCTGTCTGCACATGAGATGTCAGTTCAAACCTCTCTTACTTGAAGGGAGCAAACCGCTGCTGATTGACAAGCTATGGATATGACATGGTAGTAATTCTACCCCAAAGGAACCACTCCAAGAAAGTTTTCATTGGGAAAAGACAACAATATTAGTACCAGCAGTAACAACCAGCAAGATCCTGATCAGAAACTTGAGATCCTTCCTTAAGCAAGGGAGGAATATCTAAAGAGAGTAGTTAGTGGCATTTCAGGTGATAATCAGATGATCACATACACTTCTGCCCCTCTCAGCCCACCTGCCAGAAGAGCTGGAGGTGGAAGCACAGCTTTTATTTCCTAGAGGTAAATAGGCAGTGGCCATACTTAGAGTGCTGCTGTGTCAGTGTTGGTCAGTAACCACTTTGTATCCTCCTTGTAGCTACTAAGAGGTTGTTTACAAGGAAGATTTGGGTGTGCTCAGCCGTGGCTACCCTGGCAGCTTTAGGGACCAATTTTAGATAGAAGGAGGATTTCATGGTCACAGCTGGTTGTCTAAATACCTTCTCAGTAAGGATGAGCATAGCAAACTCCTGATTGTAAAATTAAATGCTTTCTGACAGACAAACACCCAAGAAGTATCTTCTCCTCACCCCTCAAAACAGCTGTCAGAGCCTCATGGCCAGAAGTTTCTGTTATTGGAATTCATCTGATGTATTTGGCTCCAAACAGCAAACTTGGAAGAAGGGAATAATTCAGAATGTGTTAACGATGCCGTGAGGAATTACATCCTTCTTTTTGAGGAGCTTCCATTCTACTTTGACACTGAAAAACATATTAGTAAGAGGCATCGTTGTAAGGAGTTTAATGCTGTTCTGGCAGTGTGTGCTCCCTTTCAACACAGCCTTTGCAGGAATCTTTGCAGTGGGAAAGCAACACAATATTAAATTTACAAATAAGAACTTAAAACTGAAATGGCTTGAGAAGGGGAGGGGTTGTAAAGCTTTTAAACTGAACAGCAGAAAGTGTTTGCACTGATTTTTGAGAAACTCTGAGAAGTGACCTGAAAAACAATGCTTTATATTGCATGACTGAACTTTCTTAACAAGGCTGCTGAGGAATACATGTCTCATATTAAGTTTTTTGGAAATTAATTCAATCCTGCTGTAATAATAAATTCTGGTTTTGATAAATATTGAATAAAAACAAAAGGATTGTGGGCAGCCATCACTCAGCCTGTGCTCTGTGTAATCCTGGGTTCTAAGAGCATGGTGACCCCACAAAAGAAATGTAGCCTTGAGAGTTTTGGGGGGGGGGGTTTCTGCCTTTAACAGGTGCATAATCTCATGCACTTGGAAGATGTGTGTCCAGCAATTCCTGACAAGCAAAATTGTCTACGTGGTGTGCACCGTGACTGTCTTATTGGATCTGTTGTCAGTGTGGGTTGAATGAAATGGATTTTTCATCTTGTACAGATGTAGTGTTTACTTGTCTCTGCCTGTGGACTATTTTTCACTGAATTTTCTCCATTCCTTTGAGGTTTTGTCTGGTTTTGTTTATCCCTTGCCGTGATTGTTGGTAGACTCTTTCGGAAAAGAGCAATTCCTTTCTTTATGTAAAAATTGATCTGTCCTTAACATCTGTCTCCTGAAAGTTTATTCAGTGTAACAGTGTGCTGGGAATATCTTTTTCTTTTGTCTGTGGATTAGTGGAAATGTTTATTATGAAAATAACATTTAAAAATCATTAACACTTAGAAACTAAATCACAGCTTCCTGGGTTTTGCTGAAGCAATAGAGAACCTCCAGCCTTCTCCTTTGTCTGCTAATTTACTCAGAGTAGGTATGCAGGGTAGCCTTAAAGCAAGTGTGATTTCAGGAAGCTTTTTTTTTCCTTTTTCTGCATTAAAGCAGAAAAGATTGTCTTAATTTACAGGATTTTGAAAAGAAATATTTCTTTTTCAATTAGGTAAGCGTATACATTAAAAAAACACAAAAAACCCAACCAAAACCCAGATGATGGTATTCAGGTAGACTTGAATGAGTTTTTCTCCTGCTGATTACTCTTTGTTTTCCCCTTTTAGGATGAATACTATCATTTATTAGCAGAGAAAATCTATAAGATACAAAAGGAGCTTGAAGAGAAGCGGAGGTCTCGTCTCCATAAACAAGGGATGCTGGGGAACCAAGCAGCCTTACAGACCCCCGGGCCCCAGCCCCCAGGGATTTCCCAGGTGGCTGCTGCCATGGGCCAGGCACAGCCCGTCAGGCCACCCAGTAAGTGCTGCTGGAGCTGCTTCTGCTTCTCAGGAGTCTTTGGACTCAATCCTGAGGTTGTTTTTAAAACTGGTTTTGCTGACTGTTGTTGTGTTGCGTTGCAGATGGGCCTATGTCCATGCCAACCGTGCCTATCAGTCGTATGCAGGTTTCTCAAGGTATCTGTTTTCCTCTCTAATTGTAATTTGTGGGTTCAAAATAATTGTTGGAGGGAAAAGCTGATCTCACATTGGGGTTTTTGGGTGTTGGGAGGGAGGAACTACTAGGGCTGCCTTTTTTTTAGCACCATTCTTTGGCATTGCTCTGTGTGTCAGTGCAGTGTTAACAATATGGATCCAGCACTTTGCTGGGGAGTGGGAATTAATTCAGTGCTTCCAAAGAGAGGACAGCTCAAGCAAGAATACTGTGGATAATCTCATTTAAAACACTGTAAAGGGGGAAGGATGTTGGCATGTTTTCATCAGTTAATTAGCCAAAAATACACCTGTAGCTGGAAACACAGCACATTAGTCCTAAAATCTGTGTAACTAATGATAGCCTTTCTTGGTTTCTGATGGAAGGTGCATCTAAAAAAGCCTTGGAGCTTGTTCACAGCACTTGTCATTACTCACTGAGGCTGCTGTGAGCTCATGGGTGTTTTTTTTTCCAAAAAACAAACCCATGATTTTTAGGTGCTGCAACTTTCCTAAAAAAAAAAATGTCCTCAGCTATTTTATTTCTTGGTTCAGAGTTAGTACAAAGTAAAATTAGTGTTGAAATGTCCTTGGGAAATTAAATACTTTTAAAATTCATTTGAATAGGAGAACAAGTTGATAACAAGTATAGCTCCATAATTACAGCTTTAGACAAGTTTTTTGGAGGGATTCAATTTTTTGTATGAAAAGCACAACCCCTGTTAAAGCATTTTGCCAGCTTTTGTCCTGATTTGAGGCTTGGAGTTGCCTTCATACATCCCATATGTATTTTTATCATATTTACTTCAACCATTTCAGTGAGCCCTGAATAAGACATTGTTGTTTCAAAGCAAATGCCTGATTTTAGGAAACCATCCTAAGGTATTATTTATAAATAGCATCCTGTCTCTGCAGATCATCCAGCATCCTCTGCAGATCATCTACTCTTCATCTTTTGCATTTAATTATTTTTTTTTAAGACACCAAAAATTGTATTTCACTAGTATTGCTCTAACTTCTTGCATCCTAATTTGTCTGTTAAGTCAAATAACTAAAAGATAAAGCGCAGGGCGGTCGAATTGCAGTCGTAATAACTGTTAATTTTACAGTAGAATATAGATCCATAAATTCTGCTGACTTGTTCCTAATGAGTTGTTTTGGGGGTGCATTTGCAGGAATGAATCAGTTTAACCCCATGTCCATAGGGAATGTACAGATGCCCCAAGCACCGCTGGGACCGCGGGCGGCGTCTCCGATGAACCACCCGGTGCAGATGAACAGCATGGGCGCCGTGCCCGCGGTTCGTACCCCTTCACACCCTGCTCTGCACAGCCTCAGCCTACCCCTCACCTCAGCCCCTCTGAAAAGGCCAAGCCACAGAGCAGGGCTGCAACTTGTGGGCAAATTTCATGGAAACGCAGCGAGTCTGACAGGCTTTTTACCGAGGCGTTTGTTTGCGATATTTACGTGTTCCAAAAACACCGAGCAGATCTTTAGAGGGGCACGTGCCACAGGTGCAGTAATCCCCAGCAATCTGTGGAAGAGCATCTACTATCTTTGCAGTATATAAACCTTCTTTGTTCCTACATAAAAACATGTTTTTATTCTTTGGAAAAACAAAAATATTTTTAGTTTCCCTGGATTATCTCTGTCACCCCAGAGAACAAAACAGAGTTAACACTCTGAATACTACCTGTTAAAAATAATGAATGCTGTGGAACAAATGCTGAAGTTATAGGCATATGCCCACTTCCAGTTAGTGTAATTAAGTCAGTTTTCCTTTTATTTTTTTTCCTATCTTTTGATTGATTTCAGTGTATTTTCCTTCGTCCTGCTCCGTAATCCTAAATGGTAATTAGTTAATCTGGGTGTTAATTTTCAGATGGCAATGTCTCCTTCCCGAATGCCTCAGCCACAGAACATGATGGGAGCTCATTCCAACAACATGATGGGTCAGGCTCCTACCCAGAACCAATTCCTGCCCCAAAACCAGTTCCCAGCATCCACTGGAGCTATGAATGTGAACAATGTGGGCATGGGTCAGTCAACAGCCCAGGCCGGGGTGGCACAGGTGAGATGGATTCTCTAAGATTCATTTGCTCTTAATTATTTTCCTCTGATTGATTTACTTTACTTTTATTTGTTTATTTGTCTTTCTATATCCATTGTATGATGTAGTCACCCCAACTTTGGGGGCTCCTGGGTTACATCTGCCTTCTTCAGAAGCTCTTACATAACTTATCGACATCTGTTAATGGGGGCGCAACGCCCTGCAATTCCTGATTTAAATCCCTTAAAAATGCATACTGACGAGATTTATAGGGGAAATATCAGAAATCAGTTTATGGGATGCCTATGAGCATATGTTTTGTCTCTGTGTGGACCCAAGTAGCTAACTTTAAATCTAGGATTATAATAAAGTTGTTGGGCAAGATCTTCTAAAATTTGTTTTTAACTTCTTTGCTTCTGGAGAGAAAATTGTTGGGTTTTTCCTGTGACATTTTTCTGTTGCAGTAGTGGTCAGTGAAGTAGCAGCTGTGCTTATGATGCCAAGGTATCTGCTTTTCCAGAGGGAAAGGCTTGTTTTTTAACTCAGAGCCCAAGTAATTTAGGCTAGTTAAAACCTCCAGAGTGCTGAGAGATTACTTAGATCAGGTTATGAAGGGCTCTGTTGAGTCAAGTTTGGAATATATTCAGGATGGAACATCTACAGTTCCATGGGCCCTGGCTCAGTTGTTTGACTGCCTTTGTGGTGAACATTTTTTCCCCAATGCACTTAGTTCCATAAAACTGCCTCTGTAAAGACAATATAGAAGTGTGTTTTAAATTTGAAACCTCATCTGCGGGAAATTAACTGATTTGTATTTCTAAGAGTAACATTTACATTTGGGGATGGAGTATTCCTTTTTATCACCAGTTATCTGATGCAATCTTCAGTAAAATGTATCACTTAAAGGTTTAAGTACATCCAGAGTACTTTATTGTTGTTGCTCTGAAAAACAAATCCCAGGTTTTCTGAAGCATCTTGAGCAGTTTAATTAGAATTAAAAAGAAAACAAAAAGACTTCTTAAGTCTTGCTCTGTACAAAAGCAGCCTTAAATGTGTTGACCTGCCCTCTAAAGCACAGCTGCCTCAGAGTCCTGGCCTAAAAATGGGTATTTGCTCAAAACCATTTTGTGTCAAAGCCTGACCTTTGCCCAGCTAATGGCACGATTTAGAGGCTGCCTGTGGGTTTCTGTGTTACTGGGATTGTGAGGATTCCCTCTCAGTGCCAGTGGAATTAATGCAGGATGTGCATGGCACAACTAGGTCTGGGAGAAAGGTCCTTGAGAGCTGATGGCAGCGGTGACAAAAATCGGAGCAGTCACTTGCAGCAGCAGCATTTGTGGCTGATCTGCTTTGCACTGACAGTATCCTGTCAGAGAAGGCTTCAGGGCTGTGATTGAAAGGCTAAGTGTGATTCCAGGCTCTGTAAGACTCTTTTTCTCCCTAGCAGGGGCAGGTTCCCAGTGCTGCTCTTCCCAACTCCATGAACATGCTGGGACCGCAGAGCGGGCAGCTGCCGTGTCCCCCGGTGACCCAGCCCCCCCTGCACCAGACCACACCTCCCGTGTCCACTGCTGCCGGGATGCCACCGATCCAGCACCAAACCCCCCCGGGAATGACTCCTCCCCAGCCAGCAGCACCCACCCAGCCATCGACACCGGTCTCGTCCTCGGGACAAACTCCGACCCCGACGCCGGGTTCTGTTCCCACGGCCACGCAGACCCAGAGCACCCCCACGGGGCAGACTGCGGCCCAGGCCCAGGTGACACCGCAGCCACAGACCCCTGCCCAGCCCCAGTCTGTGCCAACCCCACAGCCAGCCCAGCAGCAGCCAACATCTGTGCAGGCACAGCCACCTGGCACTCCAGTAAGTACCAGCCGGTCCCCTCTGCCTCGTGTCGTGACATCCCACGCGTGTCCCTGTCTGTAGCACCATGTCCTGAATGTATAGAGCCCATAGCTGTCCACAGCAGACCAGAGGGTTGGTTAGAGATGTATAAAATGTGTGTGTTCAGATGTTCTCAGCATTGTGTGAAGGAGGGGGGGTTGAATGGCTGAACTGCTCAAAGTAAAATCGGCAGCAGTGCTCAGAAAGACGAGGTGTAACAGGCCTAATGCTCTATTTGGCCGTAACCAGAATCTTTTTTCATCCTGAGATTTGCATAGTTTTTTTTTTCCTTTTAAGATACAGCCAGGGCAAATGCACGTTTCAAGGAATGTACAGTGTTTTACTGGGCAGGTGTTTTCTCTGTAAAAGAAGCCTCTTTGCGGCAGAATTCTTCCTTGGCTTCTGCTCTGTAAAGCAGAGCTATTAAATGTGTAATATCAAATCTTGGCTACAGTGACCTGTATCCATGTTCTGCACTGTTGTAGAATATCATCTCATGTCTCTTTTGTGCTGTTCATTTTTAGTAAAGGAAAATATTTCTATATATGCAGTGTCTTTCTTTTGTACTGTTTTTACAACAGCTATCCCAGGCAGCAGCTAGTATTGATAACAGGGTCCCCACCCCTGCCTCAGTTGCTAGTGCTGATACGAATTCCCAGCAACTAGGACCAGATGCACCAATGCTAGAAAGCAAATCAGAAGTTAAAACTGAAGAAACTGAGCCAGAGACTAGTGAGACACAAGTGGAAGCTAAGACTGAGGTAAATGAGATTCTCTACAGCTTAACTGAAAGCAGTGATAGATATAAAAGCACTTAATGATGTGTCTGACTCGGTGAGCTAAGGGGCGAGAGGAGGGTCGTTACTGCAAAGTAACTCCTGAGGAAAGCCATGGATGGAAAGTGCTTCAACAGTCTCAAACTAATATTTTGATGGCTGAAGTTTGGGTTGTAGATGTAACAGTACCTCTCGTTGCGTCCTTTCTTAAGGTGGAGGAGGATTTACAAGGATCTTCACAAATAAAAGAGGAAACAGATGGAACAGAACTGAAGCAGGAGCCAATGGAAATTGAAGAAAAGAAGCCTGAAATGAAAGCAGAGGTTAAAGAAGAAGAGGAGAGCGGCACTAATGGAACCACTTCACAATCAACATCACCGTCTCAGCCCCGCAAGAAAAGTACGTGTATGAAAACCGAGTTCCCTTGTGTGCTTTGCTTTCACTAACATTTGTTTTCCACGGTCTCAGCTCCTGCTGGGAGGTCTGGTTTGCACTTGTGTTTCCAGCACTTGGAGCTCTGGGAGATCAATACTCTGTAACTTAATATTGAAAGTAGGATTCCTTTAATGTTACATGAATCAGGTGAGAAAAGCAAGTCACTGTGCCCTTGATCTCAGCAATGCCTGCCCAGAAGGACCGAGGCAGTAAGGCAGTGATTGCTGGAGGAATTATAAATAAATCCCTCCCTGTACATCTTGGTGCTCTTTGAGGAGAGCTCATTGTAGATAAGAGTGCTTTCAGTAACCAAGGATATCCATCGCTTCTCTTTCCCTGTTAAGAGGCTGCACACACCACCTTTATCCTGAGTTTTGTCAGTCACTTTTCTGAGAATCGGGCACTTGAACTCTCCTGAACCTGTGTTCCTCCTAGGCTGGACTGCTTAACATTTATTTTAGAGTCCTGTGTTTTCAGGACTTGAAAGTTTTCAGTGTAGTGTTCATTTGCTCAGCAGTCTCTTAAATTAAGCCTCAGTGTCAGCACAGATTGAGGCGTGATTGCATCTGTACTCAAGAAAATTTCATGGTATTGCAGTTTATATAAATGTTTGGGTGCCTTGTGTTAGTAAGAATAAGATTATTAAAACAGAAATATATTTCTCTGCTTGCAGTGCAGGCTTTGTGGCAGGTTGCAAGATAAGTTTTTGGACTCAAAAACCTTTGCAGTTTTGAGACCTCTGTCTTTTGGCATCTGCTTTATTGAGGTGATGTTTTCTGTGGTCGGTTTTTAGTTTTCAACCAAAGGGAAGCTTTCAACGTGATGCAGCTGTCTAAAAAATCTGCATTTCCTTGATGTGCTTTGGGCTGCATTTGGTTCCTAACCATAATCTTTTTGTAATAAATCACAATAAAACACATTTCCCTGCATATTGATGTTCTCAGCTGGCAGCAGAGTGGGGCACCCAAACGAGAGCACGCTGCAGAACCAACTGGCAGAGCCTTTTCCAACCCAAATGTAACACAGGGAGTGGAAAGCTTATTAGTATTTCTGAGCCAGTGATATTCCCAGTGGAAGGAATCACTGCTGCCTGGTAGGAATGTGCTTGCACAGGGAAGGTTCTTGCAGAGTCAATTCAGGCTGGGTCACCACGTATTCCAACTCCTCCTTCAGTGACACAATTTTATCTTGGAAGTTTTGTCACTCAGTAACTGTGCAGTGCAAAGCACGTGCAGTGTGGGCAGGTACAACCACAGACTCGAGTTTAAACAGTGACATTTTCTCAACAAGGACTTTGTTTAATGTTAATTGAGCATTGGTATTAAAATGCTGAATAAACCAAGAGGTATTGGAGAGGAATTACTGCCGAGTGTGCTGAAGGGACAGGTGAGATTTTAAAACTACTGAAGGGACTGATCAGGAGTTATACATGGGTTGCAAAAATATTGGGAATTCTTCCTCATTCCCATGCAGGCAGATTCCTGAGGGCCATCCCACGGTGAATTGGGAACATAGCAGGCACTAAGAGGAAGTGCCATGGACTGTGTGCTGTAACTTAGCAAGCAGAGCCTTAATTTGCCTTTTTTTACAAATCTAATGTGAGCAGGAAAGGGAGGTGGTGTTTCCTTGCCTCTTCCCTTGCAGTCTGAAAAAGCCCACTATAATATTCATTTGGGCAGCTCCTGTCTCCTTGTAGGTGGCAGCTTTAGTTTGACCTTGAAGATGAGTTGTACTGCTTTCTTCACTTCTTTGTAAGACATAATGGAAAACTTGCAAGAGCTTGGGTTTGAGGTGTATTTGTGTGTTGTCCTTGTAATTTCAAAAATGTCTTATCTTCCTTTGTGAATTTTCTCCTTAGCAATCATAAGCAGACTTGCCTCTATTTGAAAAAAAGCAAAAAAATTTAAAAAGGTAGCATTGTACTCTTCTTTGGTAGATAATACGTCATGGTGAGTCAGGCAAAGATCCCATTTTCTTTTTACTGCCCACACATCCAAGACAAAATGGGATAACTGGATGCCAGCTCCTTACAAAGGTCTTTGAGCTACTGGAGGAGAACTGAGAGCATTTAATTTTGGAAAAAGGAGAGAGGGAAAAACAAAACTTCCTTGTAAAATCCATGTACAGGGAGATGCCATGATCAAATGTGCTGGAATTAGTCATAGTCCTTAGAGGCAGAACAGCTGAAAGCAACTTAATGTTTTTAGGTAAAGTAATAAATTGAAGTAACAACTGGATTTTTGTTTTGATTTCTTTCCAAATTTCAAAATACAAGTGTGTTATAATCTTTATCAGTAAAGATAATTAGGCTTTAAGGAACTTGGCAAAAGTCACACTGGATCTCTGTAGTTTGAGTTTAAAATAAGATTGGATTTGCTTTGAAAGATACTGTAGCTTAGTGGTGTGTTATTCTAGGAGAAAATTCTAAAAGCAGTGTCAAGCAGGTAGCCAGAATAGATTATTAAAAGGTACTTTTTGACCTTTACATTTCATTAAATGAAATAATTGAATCAGAGCAGTGGAGATTACTGTTCCTCATTAATGGAATTTAATATTTATTTCTGTTCTCGAGAATCCCATAATATAATGTGTAAGAGTTGTTTATAAAACTTTGGAGTCTGTAGCAAGGGAAAAGTGCCTGCATGTATGGTATTGATAAATATGGAAGAGAATTGCCATTTTGTTGGGACTGAGATTGTGGCAACAGCTGAAATGATCATACAACCAAAGAGTAGTGTTAGCTTAATTTGTCTTTCCTCTTTTTTGTGTGTGCCTACTCTTTAAAATCATAGATTTTGATTTAAATGTCCCAAAAAGCAATTTATATCATACCAAAATACCATTTGAGTGAGAAAAGCAATGATCAGCCTCAAAGGGGTCACTGAGCTCTGTTGATTCAAGTGCTTTTAGCAGAATTAATTGCTCCATTTTATTGGTGTCGTTCTCATTTCATCCAGGTAGATAAATATTAGATGCCATCCTGCTTTCCTTAGTTGTCTTTTTTTCTCAATGATAGGCATTCTTCCCTATTTAAAGACACTGTTCCTAAGGAAATAAATGTAATTACACTGCTGAGATGCTCAAAGAGCTCTCCAAGTTATCATTATTTTTCAGAAAATGTATTGCCTTTTTTTGTCCTTGTCAGCCACTCCTGAAAGAATCATGGCTGTTGCCATGCCACTGTTGCCAAGTGGTGGCATAGAAATCTGGAAGTATTAACACTTTCAAAATCAATTAACGATCCATCAGACCAGGACTGTTTGTACACTGTGGCCAGGAAAATCCCAGTGCCAGCTCTCAGGACATCTGGTCACTCTCTGTAGAGCTGGCTCCTCATCCCTGCCCATTGCAGTGGGTTTTGCTGGAAAAGGCTTGGAAATAGCGAACGAGGTTAGAAGGGAAGGGAGGGAAATTATGCTCAGTCTCTCCTTTGAGGAGAAAAGGTTCATTCATGTTGAAACAATTGATTGAATTTGATTCTGTTTAAGTTTTGAGGGGTTTTTTAATGCTCTAGAATATGTATCATTATGGGTTAGAGCTGTTCCCATCTCCCTATGGAAGAATATCTCTGATATTCTCTTGGGATCTGATAAATACAAGGCTGTGTTTGCCTATTGGAAGTGAGGTTTTGCCTCTCACCGGGAAAACCCTTCGCACAGTTTTAGTTAACGTATTTCTTTGGGGTTTTTTTAGGGGAGTCAAGAGATTAGGAAACGTGGAGGGCACTTTTGTAACCTTTCTGACTTCCATTACCAGTTTTCAAGCCCGAGGAGCTGCGCCAGGCTCTCATGCCCACCCTGGAAGCTTTGTACCGGCAGGACCCAGAGTCCCTTCCTTTCAGACAGCCTGTGGATCCCCAGCTTTTAGGGATTCCGGTGAGTTGGCATTAAAAAAAACCCTATAAAATATCCTCCTGTTTCATCTTTACCCACATAAACATTTTACCTTTATTCAACATATTGCAAACCTCTTAAAAACTCAGGGCTTTGCGTGTCTTGCCAGGATTATTTTGACATTGTGAAGAATCCCATGGATCTCTCGACCATCAAGCGCAAGCTGGACACGGGGCAGTACCAGGAGCCCTGGCAGTACGTGGATGATGTCTGGCTGATGTTCAACAATGCCTGGCTCTACAACCGCAAGACTTCCCGGGTCTACAAGTTTTGCACTAAACTGGCAGAGGTGTTTGAGCAGGAAATTGATCCAGTCATGCAGTCCCTGGGCTACTGCTGCGGGCGCAAGGTGGGTGGTTCAGTATCCCAGGGGGGTGTTCTTCTTCCCAGCTGCCCAGACAATGTTGAATTCTGTCCAGTCTCCAGCTTTGGGTACTCTTTTTTTTTTTTTAATGGAAATAGTGGATGGAAAGGCTGCTAAAAGTTTGGCTTTCTTATAAATGTGTTCAGGGCTAAAAAGGTCGATAGCAGCTCTGCTCTTCTGTTATTATTGTTATATTTTTTTCTCTCAAAGGGACACCTTCTTTAGTTTTAAGTAATATTAAAATACTTCCCCGGTTTCCCATGTCCATAAAGCAGAGGTCAAAGGGTCAAACTGCTTTTGGAGTTAATGGTTGTCACCAGATAGAGAGAGCTGTGCTGGTACATTCCCAATAGCTGGAAAAGTGTGGTGGCCATGGCAGTGTCCTCTGATACCCACAAGCATCAGGTTTGTTTTATAAATCCCTGATGAGCAAAATCCCTCATTGTAAAGCTGCTTTTCTCCCTTGTTTTGCAGTATGAGTTCTCTCCCCAGACCTTGTGCTGCTATGGCAAGCAGCTGTGTACAATTCCCCGGGACGCTGCCTACTACAGCTACCAGAACAGGTAAGTCCTTGAATCCAGGTTTTTTCCCTTACTCAGGAAGTGAGATCTCTTTTGAATTCTCTGCACATACAGAGGATAAGGAGGATTTTTAACTTTTGCTTTCCTTTGTCAGCTAAATCAGGGAAAAGGTCTTTTTTTTTTTTATCTTTCCACGCTGTCCTTTTGCAGGTGACTCTTTGTTTTTCTGTGCTGCAGAGTGAGGCACAGTGTTCCTTAGTGCTTGCTCTTAGCCAGGCTGCCCCTTGCAATGCTTCAGTGCAGGTCAACTTGTCCATGTTTTCCATAAAATGAGGGGCAGGGCTTGCTGGAGGGAGAAGGGCAGAACTGCCAAAAGGCACTGGGAAATCCTGTTACCTTGCTCTGGGAGAATTGTGAAAATATGCAGGTTTTTTTTACAAGTTAGTGCCAGAATTTGCCAGGTAAAGGGTACATTGATTCTAAGACTTATGTTTCCCCTTCCTAGTCAGTGCTTAATTATATTTAAATTAGCTTGGAAATAGCATTAAAAACTACCCAGAGATTCCATGAGAAGCTGTGAAAATTAAAATTTCTCTTATTTTTCAATGAATATTGGGACTTGGTGTTTCTATTATTATTAATAAACAATTGTTAGATTAATTTTCCATTTAATGCATAAATCATCAGTGTTAAAATCACAAAGCAAACTCAAAATTTGGCTTTAAGTTTGATTTCTTAGATGATTTGTGTCTTCTCCCCCCCAAATAAAATGCACAATACAAATGGGCTGAGACAAAAGCTTTGTTTTAAATAGGGAAAAGGAAGTAATGAATTGCTTTCCAGAGGCTTGGCAGCCTTCAAGCCCTGCCAGCTGTGAAGTCACAGAACCAATTCAGACTTCCAGCACTTGTATTTCATCTTTTTGGGCCATCCCTTCTCTCCAAACATTCTCTTGAGAAGCTTTCAGCTTGTTGAGCCCCACGCTGGAGCAGCACAATGTGGGAGAGGAAAATGTGTCATCCCACCTTGTGTGGGGGGCCTTGGGTGGCCTTTGAGAAACAGAAAGTATTGACAGGCAGGAATAAATTCATGAGCTCTCATAAAAGGTTTTATACAGCCACTGTGGACTTTGAAAAGTCGGGCTGAAGAGAAATAAAACAATTAAAATGTATTTAAAGAGACAGTTCAGTCCTGGCATTGGGGAAAAATAACCCTTAAATACCATCACTGTCGGTAAAATTTAAAATACTTTTCATATTCTGCATCCATGTTATGAATTCTGTATTTGGAAAGAATAGTAACTTCAAATTGATTTGAAGAAGGGCTCATTCTTCTTTCAAAACTGCCTTCCCAATTTAAGTTTGTGTTAAATAATTTGGATTATTCCATGGAAGGCAATGTTGGTCACAAGCAAGAAGTGCAGGGTGGGTGGAGCAGAAAATTCCTCTGCACTGGGGGCTGTAATATTCCACTTTTCTGCCCATTATAAACATGAAAGTCCATTTAAGTCATATTTTTTCTGCTCATCCAGTTGCCTTGAGAAAGGTGCAGGGGTTTGTGATTTGGGATTGAATTCAGGTGGAGTGTGAGGTTTTCTGTTTCAGGCCACTAAATGAAGTGATGAATGGGACTTTGGATTGGAGCTTTTAAAAAGGCATTTCTAAAGATTAATCACCATATTGTTTAGTAACAGTCCATTTTGCATAGAAAGCCCCCATTCATCAGCTCTAAACCACTCAAATTCCTGGGACAGAGATCTTCAAATCTTAGATGTTCCTAAACAAAGTAATAAATAAGTGAAAAACAAATTCTATGCTTCCAGCAGATCTTTAATTGGTCAAATATTCTTGAATTTTCTGTGTACAGAACAGGCAAAATTGGATGCACTTAAAGTCCAGTGTATCACATGACTAAATTACAACTAAGAATATTTAGGCACCATTGAGTAAATGAATTCAGGCACTACAGTTCAATCATGAAGTTAATTATTTGGTATAGAACTGTTTAGATTCCATAATAAGGTAGAAATTTAGGTTAAAGAGTTCAGAAAATGTGCTGCATGTGTGAATTATCCAGTTGAGAAAACCAAGTGGTGTTTCATGTCAGTGCTGCCATCCAGTTATGAATTTAGAATTGCCTTTACACTTAATTACAGTTGGGAATTCACCTGTTAATGCTGAGATTGAGCATTTTCTGGACTTTGGTGTTGAACCATAATGTTGCTCTGTAATAAACAGGAGTCACCTGAACAGTCTGCATTTGAAAAGCTTCCCATGTTTGATGTGCTGCAATAAATACATTCCTTGGGGTTTCTATGGCTGCTGTAACTAGAATATTGTATGTTTTTTATGGGTTTTGCTGAATATTCATGGTGACATGCAAAAGGCAGGACTCTGATTCTGAGGGTCCATATCCATAATAAGTTACAGTTATTGCTTCACCTTGGTTGTTTTATGGACAAATGTTCATGATCTTTAGGTGATTCATTTTCACTGTACTTCAGTTTTTATTTCCTCATTTTAATATCATGGATTAAAGCTTAGAGTGCTTTGAAAGCCCATAAATTATTCTGAAAATGGATCAGAATTAGCCTCTTCTGGGACTGTTTAAATGTTGCAAATTATTAATAGAAGCCTTGGCCATGGATTTTTCTGGCCTCACTCTCCTGTATTTGGGTCCTCCTGACTTTCAGTCCTTCCCAGTCTGACTCTTAAAATGCTGAGCAACTGTGTTAGTAAGGAAAATAGTGCTGGGAGTTTTTAATTTAAGAAAAAATGAAAGAAGCACATTATAGGGAAAAATAAATGGTAAAGGATATAAAATTCTGAACCTCTTATGTCTGTTTTTTTAAAAAAATCATTAGCTACTATGTTATCAGTGTAGGGCTAGGGTGTGAGGGGCAAGGGCAGTCAGTGGAAATGAGATGTGCAGTGTCTCCTCTCCAATAACCACAATGTATTTATCATCCCCAATGGTAACAAATTAATGAAATACATTTGTTTTCCTCCTGGCCTTGCTCTCTGGCATTCTCAGCTCCCAAATCCTTGTTTTCCTCGGGAGGGGATGTGTTTAATCCCAGTGGAGCTGCCCTAGGGGGTTGAAGTGGGGTTAGGAGCCATCCTGGCAGTGTTTGTGAGGCTGCATTAACTGGAACCATCCCCTTCCCCTGGCTCCTCAAGCAGCTCAGGAGTTTCCAGGCCCCTGAGCTGTGCTGAGGGGACTCAGGGAGGGCTCCTGGAGCATCTCCCCTGCCCAGGATGGCCCTGGTGTGTCCCAGCAGGAATTCTGATCCATCCCATTCCATCAGGGCCTGCCGGTGCCTGTTGCTGTCTCCAGGACAGCCCAGCCCAGGAGGTCTCTGTGGGATCTGGAGGTGTCTGGGGTGTGTGTGAGGGGGCAGAGCTGCCACACTGATCAGAATCCATCCTTGACTTGTTGGTTCATTGTGCCACTGAGTCTCCTTGGTGCCTCTGACACTCCCCATCCCCACGGCTCTGGTGTCTGAGTACTAAACCTGCCTCGTTCTGTGCTGCCATCGCTGCTTCCACTCTCTCACTCTCCATAAAGCTCCTTTATTTTGATGATCCTTTGTGGCCTTCCTGCATTTTACAGCTGTGGCCTCTCTGTTACCTTTGTTCATGTGTGAATTCATATCCTTTCCAAACATTTAGCCTCCCTTTTTAATTTTTTTTATTTTAGTGACCCTGACAACTTTGGTTCCAGTTCATCTGAAACAAACAACCAAAAAAAGCCCCAAAACAAAAAACCCAGCACCCCCCACCCCCCAAATCCATGTAACTTTTACTTTCTTTTATTTTTTCAAATGCAGATTGTATTTTCATAGAGTTGTATTCCAATTTACTCAGCTTGGTTTGGTAAACTGCAGAATTGTTTTTGCTGAGTATGACTTGGATTGGCTCTTGGTCTGGTGACCAAAAATTGTACCTAGCCTTATATTCAATTTGTAAAGCTTAATTAATTAATTCCACTTCTTTTATGTACCTGATAAATATATTGTATGTATGTACAATATTTCATGTTGTTCACATATATACATATATTGTATTTATATAGATAAATGGCTGGAAACTCTGACCCATAATTGCATTTCTGTTAAATGTTTGTCTAGAGTATGGATTTGGTTTCATTTATATGAAAGAATATTAGCTGAGCAATTGGTCACATTTAATCTTACAGTCAAATTTTGAATTCACTGCTTTTATAGATTTTTTTTTTCAATATCAAGTGTTTCTGCTTTTGCAGTTTTGACTCACAATCAGTAAATACTTTCAGCATATTTCCTAATTACTTAAATCTGTAATAAATGTGTCCTTAAAGCTTGTTGACAGGTTCCTTTTTACCCAAAGGAAACTCGATCAGTCGCAAGCCTGGAATCAAAGAATTTTGGTTTCATTTTTTTTCCCTGAGCCATGCAAATCAAATCCAAATTCTTAAATTTGAAGCCTGTACAAACGTAGCTCTTTGGTGGCTACTCCATGAATCCCCCCCAAATTTGGAATGTGAGGCCCAGCACTTATTGCGATGTGTGAAATGAGACCGAATGCTAATCTGTGCTTTGCCTTGGCTTTCTGCTCTGTGTTGTCTTGGTGTTTGCGTCTTACCTCTTACGTCTGTGCTGTTTGTTCCCTCCCCTGTTCTCTAATCCTGCCCTCCCCTCCCTCTGTGCCTCCTCATTGTCCACACTGACCCATCAATCAACCAACAACGTCCCCCCTTCCGTCGTGCTCCTGGTGATCTGCCCTGCCCTGGTTGGTGGCTCCGTGCTTGGGTGGCTGTGTTTGTGCTGGACCAGCTCACCCAAATATGGCCTTCTTGCTGACAGGTATCACTTCTGTGAGAAGTGTTTCACTGAAATCCAGGGGGAGAATGTCACCCTGGGTGATGACCCTTCCCAGCCTCAAACGTAAGTCTCTTGCTTTCCTCTGCATCCTGAATTTTGGAATGGGGTGGGGGGAGGGTGTCCTGGTTTGGGAGTAAAACCCAAATCCCTGTGGTGGTATCTGGGGGGGAAGTGCTTTGTTCCTTCCTAGCAGGAGATTTATAGGGACAGGATTAAGAGCTGTTGCTGTGTTGGGTCTGTGTCCAGCGCTGTGTCCAGCTGAGCTGCCCATTCCCAGGGTGGCAGACCCCGGATAATGTGTTTGGAGGGGAGCAGTGGAAGTTGTGTCAGTAAATGTCACTAATCCATCACCTTTTCTAATGGAAAACTTCCATCTAATTTTGATATCTCACCTTTTGAAGCACAGCTTATGTTTCTAAAAGCAAAGGCTTGCCTTTAACTTGGCCAGAATAATCAGATTTGAGGCATACAAGCTGGTTTGGAAGGTGGCTGCTTTACTGACAGTAGCTTCCCTTGTTCCTTATGATTTTAATTTTATGTGTAGACTTGGGTATCTCTTGCTTTTAATTTACACAGAAAGTGAAATGGGAAAAATATTTTCTGTAGCTTAAAACACAATGAACTGAATTGCTCTGACTAGAAAATAAATACTGAGGTGCTTTCTTCAGACTTGAGGTTTGCTGCAATTCAGCAAAGCATGATATTGTCTGAGCCTCTTATGTGAGGGTGCTACTGAGTTTTCATATTAACTCTTTGTCTCTAGAACCATCTCTAAGGATCAGTTTGAAAAGAAGAAAAACGATACCCTGGATCCAGAGCCGTAAGTACCAGGCTGTTGTTTTCCTTCCCAAAATCTCGCTGCTTCCACTTGTCCTTGAGCCAGCAGGGCAGAAATGGGGCAGGGAGTGAAGAACTCTTCTGTTCCTCCATCCCTGTCCAAACAGACTGCAGAATCTTTCCCTAAAATTCATGGCACAGCCCCCAAAGTGGATGTGTGATTTGATACCCCAGGGGACCACAGGAGCCTGTTCCACAGACAGTTCCTGGTTCAGTTGTTTGGGTAATTCCAAGGGTGTGCCCTTGCCAGGCTCTGCACAGGGCTGGGCATGGCCCTCCCTCCTCCAGAGCCTTTCACCCTGGGCTCTCATTCCTGGGGCATTTCTGCATTTCCCTCTTGTGGTTCTAAACCACATTTTTCCCTTCACTGAGTGCTGAGCCCACCCAAAGGCCCCAGGGTACCCTGTGTTACCCTGAGGAGGTTCCAGGGAAGCCCAGCTGAACTTCTCAGGAGCACGGGGTTGCTTTCCCTGCAGTGGGATTTTATCATCCTGCTCCATCTTCTCTGGCAGTTTGAGGCACAACACATTTTGATTCCTTGGCTTATCTTTGCAAATTCTAAATAGAGCTCCTCCCCAGGCCTGGAAGGCTGGACTGAGACAGACCCCAGTGCATTTGGCTTCTAAACCTGTACTGCACTCTGGACCAGGAAAACCTCTAATGGTTTTCCCATCCAAAAAAAGAATTCTGATGTATTTTTTTTAAACAGAAAACTAAAGATAAAAACAAGACTACAGCAGAGCCATGCAGGCAAAGACAAGTTAATGCATGTTTTTTTGGCAGGGTGGTTCATGAATGACTAGTTCTTACATTTACAGTAAGTTGAGCAACCATTTATTCAGCCTGTGGTTGTTGCAGCAATTGAGAATTAAATCTGTGGAGGTATTGTTGAGGATCCTGTGAAACTGGGACTCTGCTTAGAAAAGGATAGAAAAGATCCAGAAAAAGTTGTGCATGACAGCCCATTTCAGATTTTTAAAGCAGCACATTTTGCAATTTATATATAGGTATAGATGTATATATATAACTTGCACGTGGACTGATACATGTACATCTGAATCTATTCTGAGTATCTTAGATGTAAATTGGACCTGGTGAAGTTGATTCAGTTCTTAGCAGAGGCTTGGCAAATCCTTCTTTCATGCTGAATTCTGGGAAATTACTTACCTAACACCAAAAGTAATTTGCTGCTGGTTTTTTCTCTTCAGGTTTGTTGACTGCAAAGAATGTGGTCGGAAGATGCACCAGATTTGTGTGTTACATTATGATATTATTTGGCCTTCAGGGTAAGAAATGTTTGTTAGTTTTTTACCCCTTGTATAATGAGACCGATGTAATTTATGTAATTAAAGACTTTCTGCCTTTGTTCTTTAATGTGTGGCCACAGCCTATTAAAGAACTGGGTACAAAGGGACAAAGCTTTTCTAAATAAAATGCATTTTTTTGATGTTTGGGGTCTTATTTCAGTATATTCAGATGAAAATGTGTATATTCATCCACACTGATTTGTGTGGTTTATTTCTAACTCTTAACCAAGGGCAGCTGGCTGGAGGGGAGTTTGCACAGAACACAAATGCAGGTGTAACTGCTTGGCAGAGTTAAACCAGCTCATAAAAGCTTTAAATCCCTCAAAAATGGAGTGAAATAAGCTGTTCAAAGCCAGAGAAAAATATATTGTACTCTGACATTTAAATTACATGTTCAAACATTGGGTTTAAGCTCACCAATAATGGGTTTATGCTAAATTTTTGGCTTTTTTTTTTCCCCTCAATAGGTTTGTCTGTGATAATTGTCTGAAGAAAACTGGTAGAACACGCAAAGAAAACAAATTCAGTGCTAAAAGTGAGTTTGGTATTTGTGTTTTTATCTTCATCTTCTCTCTGCCACCCCTAATGGGTTTTTGATTGAGACTTTGTGTTGTCATGACAGACAGCACAGGAACATTTGCAAAATGGGGAGCAGCGTAGCCCGAGGCTGTCGGAATTTTAATCAACATTTTAAAGCCCTGCTGTTTATGTGTTTGTGGTCAGTCTTGTTGCTGCTTGGTGTGTTTGACATCTTTGTCCTTGTTTTTCCAGGGTTAAAAAGCAAAAAGAGGGACAAATAGGACAGAAAGAGCACAGGGCTGTGTGTGCTTCACTGGCTGTTCAGCCAGGTTTCCATGCAGTGTTGGAGCTGTAATGAAATCATTTTCACCTCTGTGCCCTTCCAATAACCTGTAGGAAACAACTGTGCTGCAGTTCAGGTGCTGCTGCCAAGCACCAAAGTGTGGGGAGAGCTTTTCCTGCCTCCAGAATTGGTGGTGGCATAAGAACTGAGTCAAGTGAACAAGGTGCTCTTGGCAGTTACCATTGCCATGGTCTTGTAGATAGAAATGGGCACTGAACGAGAGGCCAGGTCAGGTCATCTCAGTGTCCAGAACCTTTACACAGGATTGTCTGCAGGCACTGGACATCAGGAAACATGACTGGGCTGGTTTTATTCATGCAGATTAGGTGGGGGAAGAAAAGGGGCTGGTGTTGGAAATGCAGAGTCAGTGCAGAGCAGAAAAATAAAATTAGTTTAGACACCAAGGGGGTGGTTCAGGCACTTGAACAAGCAGAACTTGCAGGGACACTTCAATCCTCCCTTGTGCTTCCTTGATGCTTAGAAGTCCTGGGCATTACTGGGTGATGTGCCTGCATGAGCCTGAATCTTTCAAATTGGGATAAAGGCAAGGAATTGCATTAAAAATGTGAGTTCTTGATAACTTTGTGTGTGGTTGATTGTGTAGCAAGAGATGTGAAGGGGGTAATTTGCAGGTGATGTTGTTGTGTGAGGCACGGTGGGTTCCAGTAATCAGAACAGTCTCTGGAGTAACCTGATGCACTCAAGAGAGTTCTGTTAAAGAGGCCTTAAATTAGTCTCATTAAAGACAGATTAAACTTGGAGGAGAATATTAATAAAATGATGAAATCCAACTGTAGTTTTAGATACCCATTTTAAATGGATGTCTCTTCTGTTCTATGCTGACTATACAGCGTTATTGATGTAAATTTCCTTAAAATAAGTGTGATTCCCTGGATATCTGCAGGGATATCACAGTTGTTCTGTGACTCTGGTTAAAGTTTGAGTAAGCAGCTATTTAATTCAAGGTTCTGGGCAGGGAAATAATGGTGCTTTTTTTCCTTTCCTATTTCTCCCTGTCCTTTCCCTGCTGTCTGACTGTCTTGTCTTTCCTCCCTGAGGATTTGAGTCCTGCTCCCAGCTGTAATCCACTGGTGGGCTTGGCTCTGGAGATCAGCTTTCTTTAACAGTGCTCTGGTGGGAATGCAAGAGCAGGGAAGGGAAAGGAAAGTCTGTTCTTGTCATCAAAACCTTGGTCTTGCTGCTGACCTGAAACCAAACCTAAGCAGTGAAAGTCTGAAATATTAACATGCTCCTTCTTCTAACATTTATTGCCCAAGTTGCCATCAATATTTCTCCACTCTCTCAAGCATGATGGCACAACTGCTGGTAACCAGGACAGCACATCCCTCAGCTCTTATGGAACATTTATATTCCTAATGTATACTGAATAAAATTGGTTACCTTAACTGATAGCCTGCCAAATATAACCAGTGTGCAGCTGGGTTCTGCTGGAAAACCCTGAACTTCTGAAGTATTTATTTTGCTAAGAAAATCTACAAATATTACCTCACCAGTAGCCAATGCAGAGAGGTTCAAAGACAAAAGATATCCTGACAAAGAATTCCTCCAAAGTAGTTTCCTGACAAGAAGTCACAGTAGAGCAGGAGTTGGACTTTCTTCCTCTCTTGTCCAATTGCTCACCCACTAACAAAGGTCTGGCCATTGCTGCTGTCACAGATCTGTGCTGGAGGTTTCTTCTCAGCAGTGTGGATGCCTTTTTTCAGATTTGCACTGCAGTTTTCACTGAGCTTTGAGCTTTTATTAGAGGTGAATATGTGAGAACTGTCCAAGAACCAAAATCCAATTGCATTCTAAAACAGCTTTCACATTCTAATAGATAAAACAATTGTAACTTGTAGATCCTTTCTTTACATTACATGTAATTTTAATGCTGCCTGTTTCTTTTATCTCCTTCTCTGGTCTTTTTGGGTTTGTTGGTTTCCAAGCTTTAATGCATTGCAGCATGAGGAAGGAAGCAGATATCCCTTGGTTGCTTAGCATTGGGAAGATGACAGGATGAAAACACAACAAGACAGTAGAGTTAACTCCAGTGGCTTTCTAGAAATGTCCCACTCATCAGCTGAAGTGGAGCCCTTTCTTCTTTTTCTGTTTGACTTCAGAGAAATCAACAAAACAAAACAATTCCCTCATAAAGTATTTGTGAATTTCCTTAAAAGTCATCCCCCTACAGTTACGTATGGAAAGGCCAATACAGTGTGTTGGAATGGGAAATTCTGGGAAAGGCACAGTGTGATGGAATTGGTGTTTTTACTTGCCTTTAAACTTCATTTTTTAATTCAAATTATTAATTACTCCCAGGTAAATAATATTTAGACTGTGGTGTGCTGGTTATGACCACAGAATCTCACTGGACAAGGGGACAAGCTAAAAGATGTAAATCAAGATTGCTGCCTTTGGCAATTTCTGTAAACTGATGATAATTAAACTACCAGAGGGCAGGGCTGGATGGGATATTGGGAAGGAATTGTTCCCTGGGAGGGTGGGCAGGCCCTGGCACAGGGTGCCCAGAGAAGCTGTGGCTGCCCCTGGATCCCTGCAAGTGTCCAAGGCCAGGCTGGACGGGGCTTGGAGCAGCCTGGGATGGTGGAAGGTGTCCCTGCTATGACAGGAGGTGGCACTGGGTGAGCTTTAAGGTTCCTTCCAACCCAAACCATTCTGGGATTCTATAAAATAAAATTTTAAGTGTATAAATCCCTTAGAAAGTGAGATAATCCTTTGAGTATAAGTGAGCTTTTCCCCCAGTATTGGAGCCCAGAGTAATTTTTAGCACAGATACTTCACTGCAGAATTCTGTGTGCAGGCTCAGGAGTCAGGGAAGAACCAAGGGCCTTGTGTCAGGAGCCAAATATCAACTGAAAAAAGAAGTAACAGAGAGCAGAAAATTAAATGTTTGGTTTTTTTTAAAGGAGCATCTGTAGATTACACCCTCACTTTGGAAAAGATAGAAGATTGACCATAAAGTGAAGTAGAAATATGAGTGGTAAAATAAGTACAGCAGGATAAGAGAAATAGTCATAAATCTTCAAGTCAAAACAGTGAGGTCCTTCTGCTTTCTTAATTTAACCCCAAATCAGCACGATTTCTGTAATTTGTTGTGGATTTATTTGAAAGCCATCACATCCTGTAAGAGCACAGACCCAGCTCTTCCCCACAAAAGCCAATTGTGAATGTAAAGATGGAGTGGGGGCATCTGGGCAATCTGTGGACTTGAACTCCCCAAGACCTCCATCTCTGGGCAAGGAACTATTTAACCTTGATGTGCAGATTGCTGCAACTGCAGTCCTAAAGCTCTCTGGAAAAGAAAAGCAAAAGCAATGAAATCTCCATTGAAGTCAAAAGGCTTTTCATTTCTGTTGATTTGCTTTGCTTCGCTTGAAAAGGTGTGGCATGGAGCCAGATCTGTAAAGTGATGTAATCTCTGTCAGCCAGCCAGAGTGGGGCTGGGAGGAGTAAACATTTGCAGGGTTCATAAAATAAGCCTGAAATTGAAAAATGCTACGTACAGCTGCCTTTGGTAGATCACTTATGGGGTAATTGGGCCACTCCAGTGGGTTCAGCTGCCACGATGGGGTGTGGAAAGCAGGGGGGGGGGTTGCTTCTCTTAGTTCTGACTGTATAAATAAAACCATCCAGTTTTCATATGGAGGTAAAACAAAAGAAATAAAAAACCTATTTCCATCCAGAGCAGGAAGCTGAAAGAGCTCTCAAGCACAGGGACTGCTCCAATGTTGACCTTTCCATGGTTGTGTTCTCCCCACTCCCTTCCAGGGCTGCAGACCACACGTTTAGGGAACCATTTGGAAGACAGAGTGAACAAATTCCTGCGGCGGCAGAACCATCCTGAAGCTGGAGAGGTCTTTGTCAGAGTGGTGGCAAGTTCAGATAAGACAGTGGAAGTTAAACCAGGAATGAAATCCAGGTTAGTCCTGTTAATTATAATTAATGCAATCTTTTTTATTTATTTTATTTTAAAGCCTCCTTGTGGGGCTGTTGTAAAATTGTGCCAATTTGCACCTTAATGCCTTTGCACATTTTTGAAATTTGGGTGAGTTTAGGATTATGAAAGGTTAAAACATGTAGAGGAAGTGACTGTTTTGGGGGCAGTGGGGACATCCTTGCTTATGATACTGGGTCTTTGTGTCACTACAACTTGAGAGACCACATTTTGGTTACAGAGTTCATAGCTTGGAGCAGTTGCTGAGATTCTGCTCCTTACTCTTCCTTTGTTTTGTTGTGTTTCTAGAAACACTTCAGCTTTCAAGAGTGATTTTTAATTTGCTTCATTATAAATGAGAGGCTTAAAAGCTTTAGTCTGTGAAGTATTTTGGGTTAAATTCATAAAAACTGTGTTTATGTGACATCACTTCATACTAATGCATCACATTTTCTGCTCTGTAACCTATTTAAAGGCTTGTGGTCTCTGCGGATATTCATGTACTCAATGCTGGCCTGTTCAGTCCTGTGTTCTATATGGAAACAGTCTTTCCATAAATTTATAGGAACAGAACTCCCTGTATAACTACAGCTCTGATCTGACCCCATTTAACTCCTGCATAAAAATATTCCTAAGGAGTTAAAAATGAGGTTGAAAATAATCCCTCGTTCTGGTAGGACGCTGCTCTAATAATTGGCATTTTGTTTGTTTGTTTTTCCTGTTGCCCTTTCCTACAGATTTGTGGACTCTGGTGAGATGTCAGAATCCTTCCCTTACCGTACCAAAGCTCTGTTTGCATTCGAGGAGATCGACGGGGTGGACGTGTGTTTCTTTGGGATGCACGTGCAGGAGTACGGCTCAGATTGCCCCCCTCCAAACACCAGGTACCTCCTGGGGCATCTTCCCAGATCCCCTGGACAGTCACTGCCAAACACAGACATTTGGGACATGCATTTCAGTTCTGGGGCACAAATCCCAGTAGGACTGCAGGTGACTTTGAAGGGGAAGACAAATATCACAACAAAAATGTTACATTTTTTGGATTCTGCTTTTAATTTTGCCCTCGATGTGTATTTTTGCTGTCTAAAAAAAACCACTGCCCCTCTTTTGCTTTTGAGGACTGCTTACGCCACATTAAGATGCTTAAATATGCATTAATTTGTGTTTGTGCATGTGTAGAAGTCAGCTGTCAGTAGACACAGCAGGTTCAGGCAGGCCTGAGTGTGTCCCCTCTCTCCCTGCAGGCGTGTGTACATCTCCTACCTTGACAGTATTCACTTCTTCCGCCCCCGCTGCCTCCGCACTGCCGTGTACCACGAGATCCTCATCGGGTACCTGGAGTACGTGAAGAAACTTGGGTGAGTGAGAGCTTGGCAGAGAAAGAAATGTGGGTCTGTGGTGTTTCCTTCACTTGGGGTATTCACTGTTTCCTCCTGACCTCTCTGATATGTGTGGAGCGAACCTCTCTTCTGCACTGGAGGGAGAAACTGGGATTTTGTCACTAGTGTGGATTTTATAGTTGGGATTCCTAAACTGACAGCACATCATTCATTTGATCAGAGCTTCACTTGATGTTTAAGCTTAATTATTATATCCCCAATCTTATCCCTTGTCAAAATATGGGTTATTGCTTCAACATCTTTGCTACAAAGAAAAAAAAAATTAAATTTAAAACCCATAAAACCAGAGGTCTGAATTTCTAACTAGGTTTGAGTTATTTTTCTGGTGGGAGTCACAGATGTTGTTTGCTGTCTGTGACACAGGTACGTGACAGGGCACATCTGGGCCTGTCCCCCCAGTGAAGGAGATGATTACATCTTTCATTGCCACCCACCTGACCAGAAAATACCCAAACCCAAACGTTTGCAAGAATGGTATAAGAAGATGCTGGACAAGGCATTTGCTGAGAGAATCATTCATGACTACAAGGTTTGTTACTGTTTAATTTCAGATTTAATTTTTATAGTGTTTTCATTTGAAGGGAGCTACTGTTGTTTCATAACACCTGAAAAGTGGGGTAATGTCATACAAGGGGTTTATTCTCAGCCAGTGTCTTCATTTTCTTAGATTTTCTTTAGGTTCTGCCTGTCAGGCTGAAAATTCCTTAGGTTTGGTGTCTCCATGAAGGGAAATCTGCAAGAACCTGCCTTTGTGTATTTTTCTTTCATTTCATTTACTAGGCAAGGAAATATGGAGCTTGTCAAGGTTTATAGAAGCTGTTTCTGGTGATTCTGGAGGAGCAGGTGGAATGCTGGACCCCACCAGTGTGAAATAAAAGAGCTCCTTATGACAAGAATGATTTTCATAACTGGAGAATATCACACGTGTACCCAAGGAAATAAGTAGAAGGTGGCAAAGGGAGCATTTGCCACTTCTTTCATGCTAAAATTTACAAGAATTTCTTAATGGTAGTGACAGTGCTGGAAAAAAATTGATGTTTTGATGGCAAGTGACAGTTCTTAAATGTGTGGAGCAGGAACAGCCTCTAACAAGCCTTGTCATCTGTGTGGCAAAGAGCTGGGAAATCTGGGTCTCGTGATGAGGGGGGTTTGAAACCAGGGAGGGGTCAGTTGCTTTTTCCAGGGGTGTCTGAGTATCTCCCATCATGTCAGGAACATGGTGGGGGTCAGGAAAGCCTCAGCACTGATCCTCAGATGGAACAGGGAGTGGGGCTGTGCCAGGATTGCCTGGCTGGATCTGGAGCTGCCACAGAATAGGAGCCCTGGCAGGAGCAGCTCATGGCTGTGGGTGAGGCCCAGCTGTTCAGTGCAGCTCTGGGCCATGTCTCTGGTTCTCCTCTCTCTCCCCTAAGTGATCTTCATTTATTTATTCCTGCTCTGGTGTGATGTGCTCAACAGGACATCTTCAAACAAGCAACCGAGGACAGGCTGACCAGTGCCAAGGAGCTGCCTTACTTTGAAGGTGATTTCTGGCCCAATGTGCTGGAGGAAAGCATTAAGGAGCTGGAGCAGGAGGAGGAGGAGAGGAAGAAGGAAGAGAGCACTGCAGCTAGTGAAACAACAGAGGTGGGTTAGCTTTATGTGCCATCTTTTCCCTTAGCTCACAAGGCTGGTAATTAATGCTTTAATACAGAGAGATCACATCAAACAAACTGGAGAAGATCATTTCCAGCAGACATGAAATCAGGGGTCCCTTTAACTGCATTTCAGTTTTTCTTCTTGGTTAACAAATCTACTGAAGGCTTGGTTTGGGTTTTTTTAACAGACTCAGAAGTCACTTATGTCAGTTCAGCATCTCTGTTCTCAGAGAAATGTGTTAAGCTGCTTTTGCCACGCTACATTTGCTTACAGTCATTTGGCTGAGCTTCTGGTTCACACCTTTGCAAAGCACCTCCAGCATTTTGTTTTGAAAGGTGCTGGATTTTTCAGAGCTGAATGAAACGTGGCTGTTATTTAAGCCCAGGTACTTGTAGTCATTTGCAACAGTAAAGGGCTGAAATTTAAAAGTGTTTATTGCAGGCTTTGCGTTGGTGGGAAATGTTGATCCTGATGGTGCTGTTCCTTCACCAACATTCTCTCTTTGTCTATAAAAACCATCCAAGCCAAAAAAAATCAACCCAACAACCAAGTGTTTCAGGGCCCTGGACAGAATGTCATCATTCATTTTTATTTCCATCTTGATTTTATCTGCAACCAAATGGTCTCAGCAATTTTATATTGTCCCTTTTACTTGAGATTTGCAGCAAGATATTTTGAAAATAAATGTTGTAGGAAAATCTGAAATCTGATAGATTGAGGTAGAACCAAAAGGTTTACCTGGGGAAAGCCCCCTTTAAGCTTAGATGCTGTGACTGTTTGCCTTTAGTCTGTGTTACGTGGGATTGATGTGGAGGGATGGATCTCAATCCATCAATTTTGTGATGTCAGAAAGTTCCTTCTGTTAAACCTTAGCAGCTCTTTCAAAGTTAATACAGTTTGTGGCTATGTTTTTATGGAACCACAAAGTTAACACCTTTCACTTTGTTCCTTCTGAATGTGACTTTGAATATTGAGATAGTTCAGCAAACACTGCTGTATAAAAAGTGGAAGGCGAGGCTTGGAATTAGGCTGCAGCTAACAGGATCACTTCCAGTGAATCAGGGAAAACAGTGGTGTGAGCATTTACTCTGCATCTAGGAGAGGGGAAAAGGTGTTTGACAAAGCCCAGAGCAATTCACTGTGAACTCAGACAAGTTGTGACCTAAAATGAGATGATGCAGCCTTGCCTGGGAGCATCCCTGTGCTCCCACTTAATGCCTGGGGCAGCAGGGGGACACAGCCTGCCCCAGGTTGCTGAGGTGTCATCCAAGCATAGGATAATGGGGTCTTTGCCTCTTGACTCAGGAAAAAGAGCAAATTTAAAAGCATGAGAACTTGCCCAGTGCAGAAAACCTAAACTGGGACACTTCCTGGAGGAAACTGCCCAGCAGTGGGGATCTCACTGGGTGCAAGCACCACGTGGATCTTGGTACTGAAATGAGACAGAATCTGTCTTCAATTCTTCATCCTAAATTTTATGTATGTGAAGAGAAAGCTTCCTGCAAGTGAACATGTGCTGCAGGTATCAGTCAAAGGGAGTCTGAAGAGGTGGAAAATATTCAGAATTCTTGGCAAAGGGTCTGAAGGGGTGAGGCTCCCCCAGGAAACGTCCGTCAGCATCTCTGGCTGGTCTGGCTGAATGTCAGAATAAAATGGTACAAACACAACTCTACAACTTCTTAAAACAGCTTGGAATAATTTGTACACTTTGCCAAATATAAACTTGCTAAAGGTGGAGTAGAAAGAAAACTTAGACTTGGCTTGTTTGATAAGTTTCAGTCTGTTCTTCCTTTTGGTGTTTAAATTTTAAGATCTCAGTTGGTGCTTTAGGATGTGGAGGCAAAGGAGGGCAGGCTCCAACTCCATCAGTGGGAGGAAACTTGGGGGCAGTCAAGGTGGGAACATAAAACAGGTCACTTCTGAATCCCTTCAAGTCACTTAGAGCTCTGTCTGGTTTCCCATAAAATAGTCTCATTTTAATTTCCAAACAGGTTTGGTCAGAAAATCCACAAAATTAGTTAAGAGGGAACCCAGGAGTGGACAGGGAATTCCTGTCCAAGCCTAATTAATGGAATGGAAGGATGGCAGCAGTCTGTAAATAGAATTGCTTTCTGCAGTTTGAATATTTTTGTTTTCCTGGAATAAATATGCCTGTGGATAAACCCTGTGTTTGCTTGTACATACTGTTCATGGAACTTGCTTGCGTATGTGTGTATATTTATATTTATATATATTCAAGTATTTCAGTAGCTTATTTTTAATTTTATGATGACCAACTTCTAGAAGTTGGAGAGGGGTTTTTCCTGAGCCCTCCCTGCCAAGGGCTTGGGGGTTAATTTTTTAAGGACATGAGAACTCTAAATGTTATTTCTGTTTTCCTAGGTCATCTAAATAGCATCATCTGCTATTTTTCACTCTCTTTACTTACATTTAACATTCAGGGAATGGCCATTGAGGTCTGTGTTGTAACTTGGGCACAAGTGGAGGTTTTGGAGATTTATTTTTTTGGGAGCTGCACGTGCAGCTGGAAGTCTGCAGGATGGAGAATAATTTGTTGGTTTCGATTCAAATCCTGCATGTTCTTAGCTGTGTCCTAGCCCTAAATCTGTTCAGTAAAAACAAGCATTAAATCAGAGCTCAAGCAAGTATGTGACACACCAAAAGCACAGCAAAGCAAAGTACTGCACTCCTGGAATTTTAAGTCCATATTATTTGTGTAATTTTATCATCAGCTGCAAGATCTAAAGCAGTGGAATCTGAAGTATGATGTTGGAGAAGGATAAAGAATATGTGTATAATGGGAACTTTTTAATGTATACATACTTTAAAAGTCTATTTTTAAACAGTGTTTGGATTTGTTTGCCTGCCAGTTTGGCTTTTGATTTTTCCTGGAAGATAGGATATATTTAACACAGGAGGGCTGATTTGCAGGCATTGGAACAAAGTTCTATTCCTGACAGCAGAAGTGTGTCACTGTGAGCCCAGTGAATGGGAGAGAGCTCTCCAAAGCGTAACATCTTTCCCGTGCCTTTATTGCAGGGGAGCCAGGGCGACAGCAAGAACGCCAAGAAAAAGAACAACAAAAAAACCAACAAGAATAAGAGCAGCATCAGCAGAGCTAACAAGAAGAAGCCCAGCATGCCAAACGTGTCCAATGACCTGTCTCAGAAGCTCTACGCCACCATGGAGAAGCATAAAGAGGTAATGTGGCAATCTGCTGTAAAAAGAGAAGGGTTTATTCCTGTAAATGCAGGCACAGTGATATTGAGAACTGAAAAATCAGGAGGGATAAACCCTGTGGTTGAGCTAGGAATGTTTCTGTTGCGTAACAACATATTGGAAGAGATTAGCCTAAACTAAGTTAATTAGATAAGGTTCTCACTGCAGAGAACAGCAGCTCCTTCCTGCAACATTACCTGACCTCTTTGCCTTTTATTTCTTCCCCATTTACCTGCAGGTCTTTTTTGTGATTCATTTACATGCCGGGCCTGTGATTAACACCCTGCACCCCATTGTGGACCCGGATCCACTGCTGAGCTGTGACCTGATGGACGGGCGAGACGCCTTCCTCACCCTGGCCAGAGACAAGCACTGGGAATTCTCCTCCCTGCGCCGATCCAAGTGGTCCACGCTGTGCATGCTGGTGGAGCTGCACACCCAGGGGCAGGATCGCTTCGTCTACACGTGCAATGAGTGCAAGCACCACGTGGAGACCAGGTGGCATTGCACTGTCTGCGAGGTACGTGTGGGGCAGAGGTGGCATTGCACCATCTGTGAGGGATGTGTGGGGCAGAGGTGGCATTGCACCATCTGTGAGGGATGTGTGGGGCAGAGGTGGCCCTGCACTGGCTGTGAGGGATGGTGGCCCTGCACTGGCTGTGATGTACGTATGGGGCACCTCAGAACTCGGCCCTCTCTTGTCCCACAGCTGAGTTTGATGGGCTTTTTTTGGATATTGCCCAAAGTTCCTCCAAATTAAGCCCATCCTGGTAAAGGGCTGCTAAGCTTTAAGGGGAGGTAGAAGAGGTGGCTGCCTCTTCTAGAATAAGTGACTTTAGTTGCTTGACATGGAAATCACCAGTGCTCTGGAATGGCTCTTGCTGCATTGTCTATTCTGCTACTGCTCCTCTAAATAGACAAGTTTTTAACTTAATTTTAAAGAATTTGGTTTAGGTTGGACCTCAAAGACCATCTTGTTCCACCCCTCTGCCATGGGCAGGGACACCTTCCTCTAGCCCAGATTGCTCAAATTTTAGGAGCTGGCTTAGATAGAAGTTACCTGTGGGGCTGTACTGGTACAGCTTGAGGCTTCTTGGAGGGCTTGTGTTGACCTCTGGCTGTAGCTGAACAAAAGAAGTTTGAGTAAGTGCAGCCTCGTTTTTACACTGCAAGTTATTGCCAAGTTTGTGGGGGAAGTCTTAATTAATCCCTCTGAGGAAAGCACTGAGCAGAGCTCCTTGAAGCAGAACTGCAGGACATGGGTTGGACACACGTGGGGAATTAGGTGGTGGAAGGAGGTAGGGCCTTTAGGCTGCCTCTGGGTACCTCTGTGTAAGGAAGTGCCCTTCCTCCAGCCAAAAAAGGGACAGGGCAGCAAAAGTGTGGGGGTTTTCAGGTAGTGTCTGTCTTTGCACAAAACTTGCTCTAGTTTAGAGATTTTTAAAAATACATATTTAAGGGTAGTAATTATTAGTTGGTAATTACACTAAGGATAGATAGATAAATAAATAAGAGAGCCAGACCCTACTTTTTAGGAGTGACCATAGATTTTATCTTATTAGTTGGAGGTGTTGGCACTCCAGTAGGCATCACAGAAAAATAAACAGTTAATGTGATCAGAAGGGAAAAATTTAAAGAAAAATTTCTGCAAGAGTTTTTCATGTAACAAAATGACACAATGATAGCCCCCATTGCATTGTTACGTGCCACAGGGAAGAGCTGTGATTGCAGGCTGGCTTTGCAATCCTCCCTGCCCCAAAGCCCACTCCCACTGCCTGGACAGGCTGTGCAGCCAGTCCCTGGCTGAGTACAGATGTGAAGTGGCAGCTGTTGGCAGTGTGTGACTGTCACCCCGCTCGTGCTCTGTGTGGTTGTACCCACAAGCAGGCAGCGTGTGCCTGCACAGGGGGCCGGTGCTGCTGCCCTGGTGCTCTCTGCCCCTGCGCTTCGTGCCCTGGCAGCAGCTGAGCTCTGGGTTTTCTGTTCTTGCAGGACTACGACCTCTGCATCAACTGCTACAACACTAAGAGCCATGACCACAAGATGGTTAAGTGGGGCCTGGGTCTGGATGATGAGAGCAACAACCAAGGAGAGCAGCAGTCCAAGAGCCCCCAGGAGTCGCGACGGCTGAGCATCCAGCGCTGCATCCAGTCCCTCGTCCACGCCTGCCAGTGCCGCAACGCAAACTGCTCTCTGCCATCCTGCCAGAAGATGAAACGGGTTGTCCAGCACACCAAGGGCTGCAAGCGCAAGACCAACGGTGGCTGTCCGGTGTGCAAACAGCTCATAGCTCTTTGCTGCTACCATGCCAAACACTGCCAAGAGAACAAATGCCCCGTGCCATTCTGTCTCAATATCAAACACAAGCTCCGACAGCAGCAGATCCAGCACCGCCTGCAGCAGGCCCAGCTCATGCGCAGAAGGATGGCTACCATGAACACCCGAAACGTGCCTCAGCAAAGTTTGCCTTCTCCTACCTCAGCAACGCCTGGTACCCCGACGCAGCAGCCAAGTACACCGCAGACACCGCAGCCTGCCCCCCAGCCCCAGCCCTCCCCTGTAAGTATGTCACCGGCCGGCTTTCCCAGCGTGTCCAGAACCCAGCCCCCCACCACCGTCTCGACAGGAAAACCCGCAAACCCGGTTTCTGCGCCGCCGCCTCCGGCTCAGCCGCCGCCGGCTGCCGTGGAAGCGGCTCGGCAGATCGAGAGAGAGGCTGCCCAGCAGCAGCA